GTGTGTGTGTGAGAGAGAGTGTGTGTGTGTGTGTGGAGCCCAGAGCTCAACACCAACAAACCCTGGGCACAAAATGCAAGCCTCACCACCTGGGCTGAAATAGGAGAGATGGCAGATTCAAACATACACACACACACACACACAGAGTTGCACACACACGCACACACACACACAGAGTTGCACACACACACACAAATACCAGTGCCGGGTCACAGAGGGGCTATCATTGCTAATAAAGCTATATGGGAAAACCATGAGTCATTGGACTGGTGTTACGTAAGGTCTGTGTGTGTGTGTGTGTGTGTGTGTGTGTGTGTGTGTGTGTGTGTGTGTGTGTGTGTGTGTGTGGGTTGAATGACAGGTGAATCGCTGAGTGGATGAGACAGGTAACACTAGGGGTGTAACGGTACATGTATTCGTACCAAAGCATTAGGTATGGGGACCTCAGTTCGGTCCACACTGTGAAACCAAATGAATACATAAAAAAATAATATATATAAAGATATATATGTATATAAAATAAAAGCAATAGCCGATGCCTACGCAGCGTTGTTTGAGTAAATCGGAGCTGAAAAATACATTTCAGGCTATTCCGTTAAAACAACTAGAGCTTAAACCCACGTTGTAATCAAAATTCTAATCTTAACTGGCGCATTTCAAACTGTCCTTTTGTGAGGCGCAGCTGTGAACTATTTCTGTACAGTGGTGAGTGGTGGGGTTGATGAACCAGAACTGGAGGATCCTCCATCATCGTTTAAATCTCCAGTTTGGGAAAATGTTGGCTTCCCAGTAGATTACAGTAGATTATCATTCCCAGGTGATGGACAGAGAGAGTATGTCGCCACACACCTTAAACATGTTGACACATTTACGCTGACATCACCCCAGTATTCCTACCACTGGAGCAAGACAGAAACGCATTCTGCATTCAAGCAGCCCTTCAGCTGATTCTGACTGGGCCAAAGAAATTGGCTAACATCAAAGCGGTGACCCGATCCTGCAGGTTCATGCTCTACAACATTTGCAGAGTACGACCCTACCTTACACAGAAAGCGGCACAGGTCCTAATCCAGGCACTTGTCATCTCCCGTCTGGATTACTGCAACATGCTGTTGGCTAGGCTCCCTGCCTGTGCCATTAAACCCCTACAACTTATCCAGAACGGTGCAGCCCGTCTGGTGTTCAACCTTCCCAAGTTCTCTCATGTCACCCCACTCCTCCACACACTCCACTGGCTTCCAGTTGAGGCTTGCATCTACTACAAAACCATGGTGCTTGCCTACGGAGCTGTGAGGGGAACGGCACCTCCTTACCTTCAGGCTCTGATCAGACCCTACACCCAAACAAGGGCACTACGTTCATCCACCTCTGGCCTGCTAGCCCCCCTACCTCTACGGAAGCACAGTTCCCGCTCAGCCCAGTCAAAGCTATTCGCTGCTCTGACACCCCAATGGTGGAACAAGCTCCCCCACGACGCCAGGACAGCGGAGTCACTGACCACCTTCTGGAGACACTTGAAACCCTACCACTTTAAGGAATACCTGGAATAGTATAAAGTAATCCTTCTTCCCCCACTCCCCATAAAAAAGAAAAGAAAAATGAAAAAAGTGGTTGTCCCACTGGCTATCATAAGTTGAATGCACCAATTTGTAAGTCGCTCTGGATAAGAGCATCTGCTAAATGATGTAAATGTAATAGGTATGTTTATAAGAATATGGGATATCAGCACCTCGTGAAGCTGCTTGAGCCACATTACGAACTTCGCCCTCTCGCACCCATTTCAGCAAATAGGTAGTACCCGCTCTGTATAAGCAAGATAAAGCCAAAGATGTCAATGAATTGGCCAATGCACCCTGTTGTGAGGTTACTACAGATGGATGGGCTACAGAGAGCTACCTACAGTGAGGGAAATAAGTATTTGATCTCCTGCTGATTTTGTACGTTTGCCCACTGACAAAGACATAATCAGTCTATAATTTTAATGGTAGGTTTATATGAACAGTGAGAGACAGAATAACAACAACAAAAAAATGCAGAAAAACGCATGTCAAAAATGTTATAAATTGATTTGCATTTTAATGAGGGAAATAAGTATTTGACCCCTCTGCAAAACATGACTTAGTCCTTGGTGGCAAAACCCTTGTTGGCAATCACAGAGGTCAGACGTTTCTTGCAGTTGGCCACCAGTTTTGCACACATCTCAGGAGGGATTTTGTCCCACTCCTCTTTGCAGATCTTCTCCAAGTCATTAAGGTTTCGAGGTTGACGTTTGGCAACTCGAACCTTCAGCTCCCTCCACAGATTTTCTATGGGATTAAGGTCTGGAGACTGGCAAGGCCACTCCAGGACCTTAATGTGCTTCTTCTTGAGCCACTCCTTTGTTGCCTTGGCCGTGTGTTTTGGGTCGTTGTCATGCTGGAATACCCATCCACGACCCATTTTTGAGGTGAAGTTGTCCTGTCCCCTTAGCAGAAAAACACTCCCAAAGCATAATGTTTCCACCTCCATGTTTGACGGTGGGGATGGTGTTCTTGGGGTCATAGGCAGCATTCCTCCTCCTCCAAACACAGCGAGTTGAGTTGATGCCAAAGAGCTCGATTTTAGTCTCATCTGACCACAACACTTTCACCCAGTTCTCCTCTGAATCATTCAGATGTTCATTGGCAAACTTCAGACGGGCCTGTATATGTACTTTCTTGAGCAGGGGGACCTTGCGGGCGCTGCAGGATTTCAGTCCTTCACGGCGTAGTGTGTTACCAATTGTTTTCTTGGTGACTATGGTCCCAGCTGCCTTGAGATCATTGACAAGATCCTCCCATGTAGTTCTGGGCTGATTCGTCACCGTTCTCATGATCATTGCAACTCCACGAGGTGAGATCTTGCATGGAGCCCCAGGCCGAGGGAGATTGACAGTTATTTTGTGTTTCTTCCATTTGTGAATAATCGCACCAATTGTTGTCACCTTCTCACCAAGCTGCTTGGTGATGGTCTTGTAGCCCATTCCAGCCTTGTGTAGGTCTACAATCTTGTCCCTGAAATCCTTGGAGCGCTCTTTGGTCTTGGCCATGGTGGAGAGTTTGGAATCTGATTGATTGATTGCTTCTGTGGACAGGTGTCTTTATACAGGTAACAAGCTGAGATTAGGAGCACTCCCTTTAAGATTGTGCTCCTAATCTCAGCTCGTTACCTGTATAAAAGACACCTGGGAGCCAGAAATCAATTTATAACATTTTTGACATGCGTTTTTCTGGATTTTTTTTGATGTTATTCTGTCTCTCACTGTTCAAATAAACCTACCATTAAAATTATAGACTGATCATTTATTTGTCAGTGGGCAAACGTACAAAATCAGCAGGGGATCAAATACTTTTTTCCTTCACTGTAACAGTGACAGCCAATCACATTACTCCCGGAGTGAGAAATGAGAAGTACAGTGCTACAGACACGCCCCCTTTATGAGAGTCACACAAGCGCACATCTTTTTCTCTTTGTAAGAAAACATTATAGCATACGATGTCTGAGCCATGTTTACATATTGATTTCACACGCATGTTGCACTTTATTTGAGTGTTGTTGTTGATGAGTAATCGTGTGTTTTCATTGGAGGAAATCCAAATTGTTGTTATTCCTGATTGTACTCTTATCAGGCATTATATCACTCATGACCATATATGGAATCAGGAATACCAACACTTTGTATTTTCTTAAATAAACAAAAATTAACTACAGTAACTGTTGGCTTTTCATATTTCCGCTGTACTGAAACCAAACCGTGACCCAAAAACCGCAATACGTACCGAACCGTGGGTTTGGTGAATCGTTACAGCCCTAGGTAACACCCTGTCTGAGTGGCTGGAGAGAGAGAAAGGGACAGAGAGGGATGGATAGAGAGAGAGAGAGAGAGAGAGAGAGAGAGAGAGAGAGAGCGAGAGACAGAGACAGAGAGAGAGACAGAGAGAGAGAGAGAGATCGGGGGTTCAACAGGGGACACAGTGAAGTGACTGGGTCAGGTGGGCAGAGAGAAGTGACAGTGAGAGAGAGGAGAGAGAGAGAGAGAGAGCGAGAGAGAGCGATCAAGAGCTATAATAGATGATAGCCTACGATAGATAGATCTCGAGACGACTCGATAGAGATAGAGATATATAGCTATATCTCTCTCTCTCTCTCTTCCTACTCTATAGCTACTATCGACATCCCTCTCCTCTCTCTCGCCTCTCTCTCTCATATTATATATATGATCGGTTTTCAACAGGGACAACGTGACTTGAGGTGCAGGGTGAGGACAGAGAGAAGTGTGACAGTGAGATAGAGAGAGAGAGAGAGAGAGAGCGAGACAGAGACTATAGAAATAGGCAGATTGATTGCAGGAGACAGAGAGAGAAATCAAACATACATCTGTTGCAGCCTCAGCATAGAATGCTGCCTCTTTTTCATACAGAAAAAGTTTTCCTTATCTTCTCTCCTAACTCCTCTCCTCCCTCCTACACCTCCCCTCCCTCCCTCCCTCCCTCCCTCCCTCCCTCCCTCCTCCCTCCCTCCCTCCCTCCATCCTTCAATCCTCCCTCTCCCTCCCTCCCTCCCTCCCTTCATTCCCTCCCTCCCTCCCTCCCTCCCTCCCCCCTCCCTCCCCCCTCCCTCCCTCCCATCCTTCCTTCCCTCCCTCCCTCCCTCCCTCCATCCTTCTTCCCTCCCTCCCTCCCTCCCTCCCTCCCTACCTCCACTCTGATGGAGCTGTTAGAGTGTATTATATGCTGAAAGACTCTCACTGTGAGTTTGAGGTTGAGCACCAGCTCCTATTCAGACGAGACCTCAGACTAGAGAGTCCATAAGGAATACCCTGCTGTAAAGCTGTAAAGACTATTCCCCTGCTGATTATGTACCCATCCGCAGGTCAAGCTGGACAGGACACACACCTCTATGCCTGGAAAGAGATCTCTTGTCAGATAATACAAAAGGGAAGCGGAGGAGGCAGAGTACACCTCCTCTACTGAAACTCTCACCTCTTTCTTTTTATTTATTTTCCTCTTTCCCCTCCTCTCCTCCCCTCCCCTCCCCTCCTCTCCTCTCCTGCACTCCTCTCCTGCCCTCCTCTCCTCTCCTCTCCTCGTCCCTCTCCTCTCCTCTCCTCTCCTCTCCTCTCCTCTCCTCTCCTCTCCTCTCCTCTCCTCCTCCTCCCCTCCCCTCCCCTGCCCTCCTCTCCTCTCCTGCCCTCCTCTCCTCTCCTGCCCTCCTCTCCTCTCCTCCCCTCCTCTCCTCTCCTGCCCTCCTCTCCTCTCCTCCTCCTCTCCTCCCCTCCTCTCCTCTCCTCTCCCCCCCATCTCCTCTCCTCTCCTACCCTCCTCTCTTCTCCTGCCCTCCTCTCTTCTTCTTCCCTGCCCCCCTCCCCCTCCCCTCCCCTCCCCGCCCCTCCCCTTGCCCTCCTCTCTTTCTCCTTGCCCTCTTCTCTTCTTCCTCCTCCTCCCCCTCTTCCCTCCTCTCCTCTCCTTCCTGCCCTCCTCTCCCTCCTCTCCTTCCTCCTCTGTCTCCTCCTCTCCCTGCTCCTCTCCTCTTCTCCTCTCCTCTCCTCCCTCTCTCCTCTCCTCCCCTCCTCTCCTCTCCTGCCCTCCTCTCCTCTCCTGCCCTCTCCCTCCACTCTTCTACCCTACTCAGGACTGAAGTACCTGCCCTCTCCCTCTTATCAGCTCTTATCTGCAGCTCAAACATGCTCTGCCCACAATGCAACACCTGGGCACAAACACAGCAGCAGCCAAATATAAACCAGTGTGTGTGTGTGTGTGTGTGTGTGTGTGTGTGTGTGTGTGTGTGTGTGTGTGTGTGTGTGTGTGTGTGTGTGTGTGTGTGTGTGTGTGTGTGTGTGTGTGTGTGTGTGTGCACGTGCGTGCATGTGTTAGCGCTACCTCATTTACTAAAAAAACACTCACTGACTATTATGAGTTTTTAAATTATGACCCTGTATAACCCTGTCAAACCTGATAAACTGTCACGCCCTGGCTCTGGGGACACTGTTATGTTGAGCCAGGGTGTGTAGATTTCTGTGTTGTAGGTCTAGTTGTTTCTTTTCTATGTTGCCAGTGTGGTTCTCAATCAGAGGCAACGAGTGTCAGCTGTGGCTGGTTGTCTCTGATTGGGAACCACATTTAAACAGGCTGTTTTCCCACAATAGTTGTGGGATCTTGTTCTAGTTGGTTTGTGTTAGACCGTTGACTGTCACGTTATCGTTTTGTTGTTTTGATCGTGTATCACCTATAATAAATATGTTCGCATTCAACGCTGCACCTTGGTCCTCCTCTCTTACCGACGATCGTGACAGAAGATCCCACCAAGACTGGACCAAGCAGCAAGTCCAGGAGCCATCGCCTGGGAGATCTCTAGCGGATCTCCTTCGCCTCCTCGACTGGGTCAAGCCATGTGAGGAAGAGAGGGGCTTGACGTGGAAGCAGAAGGGCGAAAGGCTGGCAAAAAGTATGGAGTCCTGGTCCACGGGTAGGAGTGAAGCCCATAAAATTTTTAGGGGGGGGCTGACGCCGTGGACGACGGGCCAGCAGGAGACCGCGACAGAGCGGCCCAGCGGGTTGGCAGAGGAGGCCGCCAGGTTACGGGGGCCACTGGTCGAAGAGGGGATGGAAGGTGTAGAGGCACGGCGAAGGGTACTGGGGTGTGTTACCAGTCCGGTCCGGCCCGTTCCAGATCCCTGCGTAGGGCCAGTGGTGTGTGTCCCCAGTACGGTCCGGCCCGCTCCTGTTCCCCACACCAAGCCAGTGGTGTGCGTCGTCAGCCCGGCACGGCCCGTGCCTGTTCCCCACACCAAGCCAGTGGTGCGCATCGCCAGCCCGGTCCGGCCCGCTCCTACCCCCCACACCAAGCCAGTGGTGTGCGTCGTCAGCCCGGCACGGCCCGTGCCTGTTCCCCACACCAAGCCAGTGGTGTGCGTCGTCAGCCCGGCACGGCCCGCTCCTGCTCCCCACACCAAGCCAGTGGTGTGCGTCGTCAGTCCGGCACGGCCCGTGCCTGTTCCACCGGTGCCTGGTCCGGCACCGGTCAGATGCTTCACGCCGGAGCTAGAGCAATCCGCTCCACCAATGTGCAGTCCAGCTCCGGCCAGCGGGGCCAGACCGGACCAGGGGTACATTGGGGGGTTGGAGAGGGAGCGGGGATCAGGCCCGGAGCCGGATCCACCACCTAGGCGGAGTGCCCACCCGGTCCCTCCCCTGTGGTATTTGGTTGGCGCGGTCGGAGTCCGCGCCTTTAGGGGGGGGTACTGTCACGCCCTGGCTCTGGGGACACTGTTATGTTGAGCCAGGGTGTGTAGATTTCTGTGTTGTAGGTCTAGTTGTTTCTTTTCTATGTTGCCAGTGTGGTTCTCAATCAGAGGCAACGAGTGTCAGCTGTGGCTGCTTGTCTCTGATTGGGAACCACATTTAAACAGGCTGTTTTCCCACAATAGTTGTGGGATCTTGTTCTAGTTGGTTTGTGTTAGACCGTTGACTGTCACGTTATCGTTTTGTTGTTTTGATCGTGTATCACCTATAATAAATATGTTCGCATTCAACGCTGCGCCTTGGTCCTCCTCTCTTACCGACGATCGTGACATAAACCAGCACGGTCCATATTCATAAAGCCTCAGAGTAGGAGCTGATCTAGGATCAGGTCCTCACTGTCCATGTAATCTTATTCAAATATGATCTAAAAGGTCAAACAGATCGTGGATCAGTAGTCCTACTCTGAGACGCTTCATGAATTATGGCCTGTGATATGCTTTAGGTATATCATCACACAATGGGATTAAAGCCACAGTCTGCAATATTTCCTGCTGTTCAATGTGACTTATGTGTATATTCAGTGAGTATACATAAAGTCTACTACACACCTGTTGTCTGTAAATGTGTAATAGCATGTTATATTCCTGAATGTTCTTGTTCTTATTTGAAGTTAGAGGTAAAACACATTTCCTAAGGAGATATAATAACCTAGAGTAACCTTCTATTTTCTTCTAAGGTTATACTTACCAAGCAGCAGTTTGAGGAAGTTTAGGATGTACATAACACGCTTCATTGTTACAATCAACTAAACAACATAGAATCAAAACACCCAGTTATTATGAGTAATCAAAGTAGAACCAAAATAGAACCCTTTCTGTGTTTGTAAACATTGCCACACAAGGGTGATGCACACAACATGGTTGCAGAACACGGGTGAGTTCTCATAAACCGGAATCAAAAAAAGCCTCTATTTACATGTTGCTGATTAGGGCATTTCACACTACTTTTGGATTATAATTGGATTGTAAAACTCGTATGAATGTCCTGCTTAATATGATGTTTGTGTCATTATCTCAGATCAACTGCATTATACTTTTAAAAACCACCCAGTAAAATGACTTATTGGCTAGCTTTGCTCCCCGCCTATGTCAATGAGCGTTAGCATTCTAGCTAACAACTGCTGCATCCAAAATAGGTATTTTGCAAAGATCACAACCAAATATAATCTTAACGAATGTTTAAGCAATAATCAAAACAACATTGTAAGCGTAGGAGAACCCTAAAAAGTTGTTTTGTTTAGAAGTAATAACTATGTAAATATCTCAATCATGTTGAATGCGCGCAGATGGCCGGTCTTTCTGCATCCAAAATGTGTGCGCATCCGTGCCTGACGTCAGCATGTGTGTACTGAAAAGGGGGACATAGAACAAAATAAAAATCCCTTACCCTTCAGTTTCTCCATCAGGCCCTGCGTCGCCCTCTCCGACACCCGCCCGTCCCCTCGCTGGTACCGATCATCCAGAAACCCGGCGGTGGCTTCTGATAGGTGCACCTTCCCGGCGACGCCAAGTTGTTCCATGAGGTTGGCCAGGTTGACGTCGTTGGACCACACGTCGAACTTGAACCGCTTCATCCCCAGGATACCACAGAGGACCGTGCCAGTGTGGACCCCCACCCTCATGTCCACCGTCTCACACGTCTCCTGGCAGAACTGCTCAATGGCCACGATCATACCTAGTTTCAGAGTAGAAGAAGAAGAAGAAGAAGAAGAAGAAGAAGAAGAAGAAGAAGAAGAAGAAGAAGAAGAAGAAGAAGAAGAAGAAGAGAGGAGGAGGAGGAGGAGGAGGAGGAGGAGGAGAAGAAGAATACTTTATTGATCCATTTTCCTTGTAGTACACTGAAACTGCTTTGATCCCAATGACCTATGAAAGACACACAAACACACACAGGTCAGAGAGAAAGTAGTGTGCACACATCCAGTAACTAGCAACAGGTGCAGGGTACAAAAAGTCAGCTGACGAAAGAAAGATACTGTACCCACTCACACACTGCAGATTGTTCCCATATTTTTTGTGTAAAACATTTTGACCTGAAGGTCAGGAAGACCAGTTCAGAAGACCTTCAGATCGAAACATTGCACAAAAATGACAAAGACATTGCACAATTTAAAGCTGCAGGAGCAATTAACAGAATGCTATCTACCCATCTTTATCGCATTGGATCATACCTAGTCCCATCTCGACACAGCAGTAAGCATGGTCAGGGCGTGGCTCGGGACATCCTGCCACACAGTAGTAACAGTCTCCCAGTGTACTGATTTTCTCACAGCGCGTCAGCTCACACAGCCGGTCGAAACGGCCGAAGAGGTCATTGAGGAGCCCCACCAAGGCGTGGGCAGACTTGTTGGCAGACATTTTGGTGAAGCCGACGATATCCGCGAAGAGGATAGAAACAGGCTCCATCCGCTTCATGTTGAAAGGCCTGAAGATGATCTGATGATCAAATTAAATCAAACTTTAAGTGCTTTTAAAATTGTAACACACTTTACAGTAAATCAAAAAGCTTTGCTTGCTCTTTTGGGTCTAGGCCGGGTTACTGTAAAGCACTTTGTGACAACTGCAGATGTAAAAAAGGCTTTATAAAATACATTTGATTGATTTGAACAATAAAATAAATCAAAGCAAACCATACATGAAGCAATAAAGGAGGAATAAAATAGCATACAAACAAACAATGACTAAAAGGCCAAGCTAAACGGGTGAGTTTTTACGCATGATTTAAAAATGCCACTGGTGTTTTTAAATCAACCACTGCCCCTCTTACCTGGCCTCTGGGGATCGAAGTCTTCTTCCTCTTATGATGACTATGATGATGGGGATGGTTCTTAGGGCTCGCAGCGATCGACGAAGCCCCCCCAGGACCTCCGACTGTGGACACTGCCGACGCGGAACAAGCCCCGGCAGAGTATCTCTTCCCTGCGTTCCCCTCCATCTCCTCGTCCCCCTGCTTCATCAGTTCATCGGCGACCCTCCTCGGCATGACAGAGTGGATCATGCGTTCTTTCAACGCTTTCTCCACCTGTAACATATTCACAAAGACAGTGAACAAATGTTTTCCTTCTCCACCTGTAACGTATTCACAAAGACAGTGAACAAATGTTTTCCTTCTCCACCTGTAACGTATTCACAAAGACAGTGAACAACTGGTTACTTTCTCCACCTGTAACATATTCACAAAGAAAGTGAACAACTGGTTTCCTTCTCCACCTGTAACGTATTCACAAAGACAGTGAACAACTGGTTACTTTCTCCACCTGTAACGTATTCACAAAGACAGTGAACAACTGGTTTCCTTTTCTACCTGTAACGTATTCACAAAGACAGTGAAAAATTGGTGTCCTTCTCCACCTGTAACGTATTCACAAAGACAGTGAACAACTGGTTTCCTTCTCCACCTGTAACGTATTCACAAAGAGAGTGAACAACTGATTTTTCCCACCTGTAACATATTCACAAAGACAGTGAACAACTGGTTTCCTTCTCCACCTGTAACGTATTCACAAATACAGTGAACAACTGTTTTTTCCCCCACCTGAAACGTATTCATAAAGACAGTGAACAACTGGTTTCCTTCTCCACCTGTTAGGTATTCACAAAGACAGTGAACAACTATTCTTTTTTTCACCTGTAATGTATTCACAAAGACAGTGAACAGCTGTTTTTTTCCCTACTTGTAACATATTCAGAAAGACAGTGAATGACTGGTTTCGAGAACCTCAAGAATATAACCATTTGTGATCTATTTTATGTTATGTTATTTGATTGTTTGATGAGCATGATGATGAAATGTAATCATCTGGCTCTCGATGATTCAATGTGTCAATGTTTTGATTTTATCTGTCTCTAACATATAAATAATAATTACCTCCAGGTCCTTGCCGTGCATGATGGCCTGGCCCACCTTGAGGAAGGTGGAGCGGGATCGCACCTCGGACATGATGAAGAGGTGGATGCCGATGGCGTGGGCACACAGGTGGAGGAGGGCCTTAGCTGGGCCCAGCCAGCGGAGTGTGTCCCATTCCCAGCTAGAAGAACCAACACCTCCAGGACTAGATCCAGGACCTAGGGACCCTCCTGCACCTCCAACCCCAGCCTCGCCCCACCCATTCCCCCCATAATCTCCTCCACCGCCATCTCTCCCCTGGAGCAGGGGCAGCCACCCTAAGGCTTCGAATAGGACTGAATAAAGGAGCCCCAGCAGAACTGAAGCGTATAGCCTCACATGGAGAACACTGTAGAGTAGTAGCAGGACCTCCATACACAGAGAGAAGGTGCCCACGGGGGAGATGCAGGGAGCCCGAGTAAGGTCCACTCCGCCTGGGGTGTGAGGGAATGTCAGGTTTCCCTCCCTGGTTCTCTCCAGGTCGGCGAAGCCTCCTGTCTGGATCTGAGGAGCCAGAGTGATGGCGAATGTGGCCACGATGAGGAGCAGCGAGGCCTGATTGTACAGGTGAGTATAGGGCCTTGTCAAGGTAAAGAGGAAGAGGAGGAGGAGAAAGAGGAGGAAGGAGGCGGTCGGGGCGAGGAAGGTCGCCGGGTCACAGCGGTCGTGGTTGACACCGAAATACACGCCCCAAAGGAGCGAGGCGGAGCCCATGTATGACAGAACATAGCGGAAGCGGCGTTGAGTCTGCGGGAAGCACCTCTCACGGCACGCCTCTTCGAGTATCGGCGAATCAAACTTGGGGTCCCAGCACTGGGCAGCAGACCTCTCAAACAGCTGGGGCAGAGTCTTCTGCTGGCTGTGTAATTTATTCATAACAGCCCTCCGAACTCCCGACTCCCCCGAACTACAGCTGGAGGAGATGCTGTATTTGGTGCATGGTTTGGGGGGATCTCCTTTGGTCGTAGTGGTAGCCCCACCTACTCCACTCCCTCCTCTGGTATTGCTGTCCCTTGTCGTTGGGGTTGGGGTTGGGGGAGAGTCATGATATTGTCGATGCTGTGGCGACGGCGCGTGCTGTGTGCGCGCCGTGTTGTCGATAATCCGCACAGTCACGGCGCCATCACTGCTTGAGGCGCAGCTCACCTCCGTGGCGTGCGGGAGAAGCAGCTGCTGCCGGTGTTGCAGCGGCTGCAAAGCCATTATGATGGCTGAAGGAGTGACGTGATGGGGGAAATACTAATATCTGATCAATGATGGCGGACGGTGCGCGGCCAATCAGGTACTATGTGAAACATCTGGCAGAGGGAGACTAGCTAGACAGGAGAGAGACGGAGAGAGAGGCAAGGGAGAGAGAGAGAGAGAGAGAGAGAGAGAGAGAGAGGGGCAAGAAAGGTGATGGTTGTAATCACGACTTGATATATCGTTTGTACAGAAAATACTAGGCTACGCACGAATGTGGCCAACTAGTCCTACTCACTCATATAAAATGACCGTTCCAGGCTCTTGAGTAGTTCATTATCCCGACCTCTGTATTACGTCAGCACTCACATTCCATTAATTCGTCCCTTGCCTTTGGAAGCCCTCGCTTTCCACTTTGTGCTCGTGTGTTGCTCTGCTCGCTCTCATCTGGCAGTTGAAATAATTGAAAGTCCTGTCATCCGCTCTTCTTTCCTCTTTCCTCTCCTCTTCTTTAAACATCCTTCCCCGATATGACGTTTAATTATTTATTTATCACATAACGATTTGTATCGGTTAAAAATGCCAATCTGGGGTCAACTGTTCAAATATTCACTTTTTATTCCAGACCACGCGCAGAGTTTTGACAGCCGCCAGTGACAGCTCGAGCTTGGCTCCTACTCAGCCTCGCTCTCAAGAAGTCCTCGCATGTCTTCTTCAGTGATTATCAAAATAATGTCCCCATTTTATTATTACATTTTAACACACATAAAATCCAAAAAGAGAAAATTATTTATATAATGTTTCCAAGTCCAAAACTACCCATAGCTTGTGTGTGTCTTGTTTAGGAGTTGCAGGCTATCCACAGTAGGTTGTCGTCCCACTCATTCCAATAACAAGCTACAAATGGCTAGAAAATTGCGACAAAGTTACAGCTTCGGTCCCTTGTTATCTTATCGGAGCACGCGCTCCAAAACATGTCCCTTTAAAGTTCCTTTCCCCTGGAGAAAAAAAAAGAAACGTTATCCTCTTTCCGTTTTAGTTACATGAGTCAACAGTTGAAAATAACAGGCTAACATTCATAGCCTAAACTCTTATAACATATCCCCCTTTCTCTTTCTAGTTCAAAGCCCTGGTGTGGGCGAATACTTTCTTGTTATGCGAGCCTAGCTGAAGAGTTAGGCTTTGACTCTCGGGTCGGGTAGGTGGGTCGGTTGGTTGGTTCACGACCACCCAAAACCAGCAGCCAGGCATGCAGCGTCCGAAATAGCGGTCTAGCTGTCCCCCCTACCCAGTCTGTAGTTCTTCAACAGCCGGGCCTATTCCCAAGCTCCAGCCCCGTCCTTTCCTGACCTCCCTCTACGGATCTCTACACCGGTAATATCCCCACTTCCAAGAGGACAGGGACTGTACAGATACTGTAATATGAAGACGTTGAGAAGCGATTTTAAATCGAGAAATAAGTGCCCAAAATATGACAGCTGAGCTGATATAAGCCTACTCCTTTTAGTAGGCTGGAGTCTTGAACAAACTTGTTGGTAAGAGTTGGCAAAACAGAAAGCTATGAAAAACACCCACATGAATAGTCTTAAAAATATAGACTTAAATACAAACTGTCAAGTTATGTCTACTAAATATTCCTATCGAATATTCATATTTTCCATAGAATAGGCCTATCCAATGAACATGACAGGCTTTTAAAAACAAAAACAGCAGTCTAAAATTGAAGCAAAAACGTCTACAAAAACGTCACTTCTTGTGTTCCCTTCTGTATCCAAAGCTTATAAACTTTTTCCCAGGCCGTGGTTCCTTCGTCATAGGCTACAGAAGTAGCCAGGACTGTAAACGCGTGGAGTAGAGAACTATGGAGTGCAGGGAGAGATTCAGTGAATTTCCTCCTCTTTGCTTTCCCCTAAGGAATACCGAATTCCCATGAGGAAGAAACAATATATCCTTGATCCTGCTTCCCTTTATTCAATTACCAACGAAGAAGACATAGTTCGCGAAATGTGCTGGCTGTCTAGTCTGTTCCATAAATTCCTCAAGTCTGGATAGCTCGAGATTAAGCTCTCTGAATGCATGTGCCCAGAAGAAGCATAGCCCGAGAAGGAGTCCACTCCTTGTTGCGTTCGCGTCCTCTTCCGTTCGAAAGGTTCGGTGACGGTTAGGTTACCTCCCTATTGCCCGGGTCCGGGTAGCTTATGTAGGCTAATAAAAATACGTTTTTATGTGTTTTCCTGGTTTATCCAGGGGAAGACAACGCAGCTCCCGTCACTCTCACCATCTTCCTGTACCCAGACGGAAATTCTCCGCCAGCTGTGGCGTTGAGGCGGCGGTGCGGTGGAGTTGGGTGGGTGTCTAAAGCGGAGCGACGCGGTGGTGAGAGCGTCGAGCTTCAGCAGCTCCAGTCTGAAAATACAGAGGAGGGGGGGGGCGTATGCTGGTTGATGATGGGGGGGCGTATGCTGGTTGATGATGGGAGCGCGCACGCAGAAATGTATTGTGTGGCTATGGACGAGCACGTACTGAATGACAGTGAGAGTAGAACTATTTCAGATTGTACAAAATTAAATATGTAGACTAGAAGGCCAAAGTAGTAGGCCTATTTTATGCAATTTACGCATTGGCCGTTTAAATTCCAAATGACATCACATGACATAGACACAAACAGACCAACACCTTAGGTGTACACACATCAATACATTTCAGTGTTTTTACAGTACATGCATTGTCATTGTTACACAGCTGTTACACACCTAGACCTATGCCCACACTAACAGAGTTGTGCCCGTAATTCCAACAGTCAGTGAAGTCATTGATTGCAGGTGCAAAAAAAAAGGCCTACCCTAGTCTAGTAGATAAAGTATGCACACCTATAATTGCCCTTAAGAGAACACTGATATCGTTTCTATAGTCACAGACAGATCTTTGTCTGATACGTCTACTTTGAAGGAGTGATAATACCTACACTTTGAGTCCAATAAAAATGGGTGGCCTCTTCCATTAGATGAACAACAATGTGTGTGTGGGTGTGGCTTTACTGATTTGCCTTTAGTCAGTCACTCATTACTTTAGGTCAAGGGTCATTGTACACAATGCACAGGAGCATATCACTCCTCCTGCCTGTAACACACACACACACACACACACACACACACACACACACACACACACACACACACACACACACACACACATGGAACACGTGGAAAAACACACATGCAAGACTTATCTTTTTTTACTTCTGAAGGACTAGACCTACCTCCAGGAATTCTGCAGAATGTCCGACAGGAAAGTTGTCAAACACACACACACACACACCTGGAGCAGATTTCCTGCAGTATTCCTGTAGGACTTTTTTGAAAGGGTTGATTGGTTTAGTGTGGGTCACGCCCTAATCTATAATCCTTATAATATAGGTATTATAAAAAGACAGCCACACAAATGGCCAACACACACAAGCTTGGTTCCTCAATAACTGAGGGAGCGTCTTGGTCTGTGCACAGATGGACTTTTTATAGGACTAGATGGACTCAAATTGACACAAATTGGACTGATGGACTCAAATTGACTTTTTATTAGACTAAATTGACTCCTTATTTGCTAAAAACAGATATTCGGTAACTCAATTTATTGGGGATAGAGAGGATAACTGTGGTCCTCTGTAGCTCAATTGGTAGAGCATGGCGCTTGTAACGCCAGGGTAGTGGGTTCGATCCCTGGGACCACCCATATGTAAAAATGTATGCACACATGACTGTAAGTCGCTTTGGATAAAAGCATCTGCTAAATGGCATATTATTATAACTTATTTGGATAGTGTAGTACTTCACTACACTATCCATCTTTACCTGAATGCATCCCAAATGGAAATCTATTCCCTATATAGTGCACTAGGTTTGAACAGGCCAGGGCCTTTTCTGTAGGGAATAGGGGGCCATTAACCCGGGTAATACCCATGGGGCGGCGCACAATTGGCCCAGCATCGTCCAGGGTAGGGTAGGGAATGGCCGGCAGGGATGTAGCTCAGTTGGTAGAGCATGGCGTTTGCAAACGCCAGGGTTGTGGGTTCGATTCCCATGGGGGGCCAGTATGAAAAAATAAAATAATGGATGCACTCACTAACTGTAAGTCGCTCTGGATAAGAGTGTCTGCTAAATGACTAAAATGGAAATGTAATCATTTCCATTGAGTTCAGTTACCACCTGGTGGAATTCTGGTGCCACTGCAGTGTTTTAATGCAAAAGATGACTATGGCTGAAATGACACCTCATTGAAAAAAAAGTTTTTAACCCTTCCCTTATGTCCTGGTTAAATTTGAGTTAGAAATCACTCAAATACTATTTTACTTAATTTTTCCATCATGACCCTTCATCTACTTTCCTAAGGTTGTGTCTCAAACGTGTAAAAGACGTAACAACAACAACAACAATTAGACCCGGTACTGGAATAGTGACATCCATGATGTTCTGGGTCAATTTGACCTGTAATTTGACCTTGACCTTGGTCTATATAACTTTTTAACAGGTTGTCCTAGAAACAAGCTGAGGCGGAGCAACACTGCTCTGAAGTCAATTTGACCTTTGACCTTGACCTTTGTGCTAGAGACAAGTGGTATTCTGTGCAGTAAAGATATATCCATGACGATCACAAGGATATAAGTATGTTTTCCCTGTGATGTCTAGAGGCCGAGGGATAGTGATATGAAGTTTGGCTAAAAAGGAGCAAAAAATGTCATAATTCGATTGATTTACAACTTTGGTACAGTAATCAAACATTTGGCTCCAAATTTTGAACAGTTGGGTCTATCAACTCAGGGGAAAAAAGCATATGAAACATTCTCAGCAACTGGGAAATCCATTTTGGGGAGGTTAAAATCATATATTTTTTGTAAGGTTAAAATCATATATTTTTTGTTAGGTTAAAATCATATCTTTTTGGGGAGGTTAAAATCCTATTGATGATCTAGATGTACTTACTGTACTTACTGTAACGGTGTAGGTTGAACCATACATAAGGATTAAAGACCTAATATTATGTACATCTGGTTTCTGTGTCTCAGACAGATGTGGCACCTTGCAGTGATGGGTGTGTTTCCAAGATGCTATGTGTGTGTGTGTGTGTGTGTGTGTGTACAGATTGTTTAGAACCACTCTGTGTGTTTGGCCTGGCTAACACTCCTTCACAAAGTAACAACAGAAGCATATCAATTATACATCATTGCTGGGGACAGGACGTTCCCTCTAGAATGTAGGCCCTACCCTTATTGGACAAAACATAAATTGGGTCTATTTTTTGTCTTTCTTTCTCCCCCCTTTTTCTCTCTAAAGAATTGACACAAGAATCTCGGTCGTCAATGGTATCTGAAGCTACAAGGATGAAATACAACTTTAATGACACTTTGACATGCAGCATATTGAGGCAAAGCTATAACAGGAAGAGAAGGCTACAGCCCATTTAACTGGCATCAATGTACAAATGCGATCTTACACAGCAATGACATACTGCACTAACAACGAAGATAAGCTGTAGTTTAGAACTGACAATAAAGACAATAGAATAGAATAGAATACAATAGATGAATACTGTAACTGATTGCTGGTATTTTTCCTCCTTGTCTACGGATGAAGAAGAAGAGAAAAACTTTAATAAATAAAATAGTAACAATCTGGCAAACAAACCGAAATAAAACAAACTCTTGTTTATATTTCCCTGTTTTCGTTTTGAGTTAAATAATAACACTTAGGAAGATAAGAGTCTCTGATTTAAATCATTTAAAAACGTGTTTCCGTTTTTCTCCAGTTGGATTATTTCTAATGGGCTTGTAAGGTTCCCATGTGCTTTATGTGGCTTCACTCCCCAGCTGTACATCTTTCCTCTCCTCCACCCATCCTCCATCCCATCCCTCTCTCCTCTCTTCCCCGTGTCCAGTCCAGACAAACTCAGAAGTGGAGTCACCCCAGTACAGCTTCTGGCTTCGGCCTCCTTTACTCCCCGTCCTCTTCTCTCCATCCATCCCTCTCTTCATCTCTCCTCCTCAATCCTTTCGCCAGCGGTTCTTGGGTTTTGCCTCAGGCAGTGGGGGTGGAGGGGCTGGGGCGGCCTTGGCTGGGGGTGGACTGTCTTTCTTGCCCAGGCTAATCAGGAGGGCAGGGAGCTCCACAGTGATAGCTTTCTCTATCTTGTCAATCAGACAGCCTGACGACCAGGAACAGAGGGAGGACAGCTGTTTAAAGCCTGATGGAGGGTTGATGCCGAAGAAGTCCTGGTAGGCTTCTTTGTCTGGCAGGTCGAACTTGCTCACCTGGAGAAATGGAGAACACACAAGTTCTATATATGTTGTACACATGTTGTTCCTGGTCCTCTTTTACGCTGCTGCTACTCTGTTTATTATCTATGCATAGTCACTTTAACTCTACCTACATTTTACATTACATTTTACATTTTAGTCATTTAGCAGACGCTCTTATCCAGAGCGACTTACAGTTAGTGCATACATTATTTTATCGAACCCACAACCCTGGCGTTGCAAACGCCATGCTCTACCAACTGAGCTACATCCCCTGCCGGCCAAATCCCTCCCCTACCCTGGACGACGCTGGGCCAATTGTGCGCGCCACCCCATGGGTCTGTACCTATGTACCTACATGTACATATTACCTCAATTACCTGGACTAACCTGTGCCCCCGCACATTGACTCTGTACCGGTACCCCCTGTATATAGCCTCCCTACTGTTATTTTATTTTACTGCTGCTCTTTAATTATTTTTTATTTATCTATTTTTTACATAACACATATTTTAGTGAAACATTTTTAACTGCATTGTTGGTTAAGGGCTTGTAAGTAAGCATTTCACTGTAAGGTCTACACCTGTTGTATCAGGCGCATGTGGCAAATAACATTTGATTATATTTTTTATATACATGTTAGTTATATACACACATTATATGTTATATGCACATTACTCATACACATTTAATACACACATTATATACACATTGTACACACTTTACATACACATTATACACACACTTTGCCTACCTTTAACACATGTTATATACTTATTACATACACACATTACACATACACACACACACTCTCCCTTACATTGGTCTTGGCCAAGATGGACTTGAAGATGTAGAACTTGTCAGGGTCTGAGACGATGTCCCTGAACACCTCGTCGGGGTCGCTGAACCAGCCCAGCTTCTCATGGTAGGTATGGAGGTAGCGATCTACCAGCAGGGCGTGGATTCTGACCCGGATGGCGTGCTGGCGGATGAAGGCTATCTTGTTCTCCAGCTGGTTCTCAATGACCTGAAGAAAAGGAGAAGGACATTATTGTCAATAGCGGAGGTGCATAAATATGGCGTCCCCCATGCACTTACCACAAATACCTTGTTCGCCGAATTGTACATCGCTCTCTGTGACTCTTTTTTTGTTGTTGTCATTAGCACAGTAAACATGATCCGAATTTTAGCTTCAAGATGCTGGGACCCCAAAAAAGTAGATTGTGCTGATTTACTGGCACATTGAACCATATCACTCGCCGTAGTTTAAAAACTCAGTGGATAGTGCTAAAACAATGACATCACATCTGCATTGTCATAGGTTTTAGGTGCATTGCTCAAGGGCACAACGGCAGGAGATGGTTGCTTCTCGAGCAGCAAGGTCTCCTCCCGTATAAAAAGCCATGGGCTGGTGTGTGCGTGTAATGTGTTGGTGTGTGTGTAAACTGTAATGTCTGTAGGTGAGGGTTGAGCTTCACCTGGTTGAGGTCTTCGAGGAGCGAGATCTCCTCCCGTATGAAGAGCTCTCGGCTGGTGTCGGCTGCGTAGTCTGTGGGCCAGAAAGAGCTAACGTAGACCCGGGGAGGCTCTGTGGCGTTGATGAGAGGAGCCATGGACCAGAACAGGGCGCCATAGACACGCATCAGGTCCTGGGAGGCCAGGTTGTCTGCCTTGTTCAGGATGATGCGGATCTGGGACTCGCGGCCCTGGAATGAATGAATGAATTAATTAATTAATTAATTAATTGATGGATGGATGGATCAATGAATGAATGAAGAAAACAGAGTTTAGAAAAGTTTATTAAAGTGTCACTCCCTTGCTAGGCCAAGACTGGCTGTATATTGGGAAATCTAAGGCACTTTGCTTTGCACCATAGACATAGAATTACTAGAATGAGAAAGGAATGTATTATTTTGTAATTTCAGTTGAGTTGACTGTTAATAAAGCACAAACTGAATACTGAACTTAATACTTTTGCTTCCTACTTTACTCTTATCGGTACACTCAATATGGCCGCCGGGCCACCCATCACATCCGTTCTAGTAATTATATTTCTATGCTTTACACTTCTTTACCTTCATCTGTTTGAACAGCGTCGCCAGCTCTCCACCCACGTCCAACTTGGTGGGGTCAAACATCAGGAAGATGAGGTCAGCACGGTCGATGAACCACTGACACACCTCGCTATAGGGGTAGCCTGGAGGGGGGGAGGGAGGTCGACCAATCAGAGGCTGTTTTACTCAAAGATTTGGTAGGATACAGTGAGTTAAGTATTTTTATCATTGCATTTTTGAGAATGTGTACGTGTGTGTGTTGCATGGAGTGTGTTACCATTCTGAGGATGTAGGACACAAAAAGTTCAGGTGTGTGAATGGTTCAATGACACATTGTGTGTGTGTGTGTGTTTGTGTGTGTGCATGAGTGTGACTGTTAGTGAATCTCTGTCTGTTCTCCTCCCACCTCTCTCCTGCGGCTTGTGATTGTCACTTCACAGCATATAACACATATCTAAAGAGTGTATATGATCTATTACACATGGCTGTATTTGAGAGGTTAGTGTATGTATGTGTATGTGTGTTCTCCTCCCCACCTCTCTCCTGCTGCTTGCGGTTCTCAATAATCCCAGGTGTATCCACCAGGGTGACTCTCTCCAGCAGTTTATGGGGCATCTCAATCCCCACCAGCCTCTCCAGGAACCCCTGGCCAAACTTCTCCAGAGGAGAGAAGGACCTGGAGCTGTCGGCAGCCATCACGATGCCCTCCACCGAGCGGAACTTGTCACCGTGCATCACCACTGTGTACTCAGATGTAGTGGGCTCAGCACCTGGGAGAGAGGGAGGAAGCGGGCGAGAGGTGGTATGGAGAGAGAGGGGAAGAGGGGAGAGGTGGGAGGGAGATAGGGAGGGAGGGATGGTAGAACGTGTAAGAGAGAGATTAATATGAACAGCTATCCAAATAGTTAACTAAGAAAAGGAAGCAGTTGCATTGAGGCATGTTTGTATACCTCAGAGAAGTGGACTGGGAAGGGTGCAATAGATGACAGACCAGTAGTAGATAGACAAGATGTGGAATAGAGTGAATGATAAAGTCGAAAACCTTGTCTGCGGTGTAGACTGGTAAGAGGTGCAATGAGGGCTTTATAAATACATTTGATTGATTGACTGATTGTCAGAGTAGGGAGTTGGTCAGGTGAAACTCCAGGCCCAAGCTATGCGGCAGGTGCTCTTACCTGTGTAAAGTTGTTGTGGGGTACCGTGCACGCCCAGCAGGTAGTTGATCATGGAGGATTTGCCTACTGACCAGGGTCCCAGGAACAGCACCATGGGCTTGGAGGTGATCTCTCCATCTAGAGGGAGGAGAGAGATAGATAGACATATAGATAGAGTGAGATAGAGAGAGAGAGAGAGAGAGAGAGAGAGAGAGAGAGAGAGAGAGAGAGAGAGAGTGGGGGGGGGGGGGGGGGGTCACTTTTGTAGACTTTGTCAATGGTACACTTTGTCCCACAAGGGGGCGGTCATTGCATACATTACTGTACTATGAATGGAGCCCTCAATCTCTAACAAGCCTGGGTTAAGTGAGGCCTGGTCGCCCACACAAAGCTGTATTTATATGCTGATGCATACAAAGTCACTCTCTGGAGAGCTCCTGGTGCATTCGATTACTGGCAGGTGTATATGCAGTTAATTCATTTATTTATGTTTCATTGATTTGTCAAAGTCACCCAGCTGAGTTTCTTCAGGCGAAGGCACCAGAGACTAAGCTGGCACACAACTGTGTACAGTATTGCCCATTTGCCTGGGGAAACCCCAGTGCTAATGACAATGTCTGCAAGGACTGTTGGTAACTAGACTTATGCCTGTCTGTTTTTTCGGGGGGAAATGTAGCATTTTGTTGTTCTTTGTGCAACAGGTTGGTAATGAACAGATTGAAAAGGCTAATAGCTAATGGCTAAAGGCTAATATGCTAATACTAATAAACAAATCGGAACAATGCTAACCAGGCTAAAGCCTAATATGCTAAGACAACAGGTCAGTATAAAACAGATAGAACATGCTAATAGCTAATGGCTCAAGGCTAATGCTAAGTGGTTGGGCAGGCTACCTGTGACCTCGTGAGCTCTGAGCTCGTTGTACTTGTAGGCCATCTCCATGGGCTTGATGGCTGAGTGGTAGATGTGCTGCAGCTTCTTTATAGCAGCTGGAGAGGAGGAGAGGAGTGAGGGATGAGGAGAGGGTGAGGGGGGAGAGAGGAGAGGAGGAGAGAGGGATGAGGAGAGGATGAAGGGGGAAAGAAGAGGAGAGGAGAGGATTAGGGGGAGAGAGGAGGAGAGGAGGAAGGGAGAGAGGAAGAAGAGAGAGGGATGAAGAGAGGATGATAGAGAGAGGTGGAGAGAGGCAGTAGTAGCAGATGAAGAGAAGAGATGTTGAAAAGGAGAGAAACGGGTGGGAGAGAAGAGATGAGACGATACATTTTGCATGGTCATGGTAGTCATGGTAATATAATGGAGGCACCATGAATGAACTAACCTGACTCATGGTCATGGTAGCCATGGTAATATAATAGAGGCACCATGAATGAACTAACCTGACTCATGGTCATGGTAGTCATGGTAGTCATGGTAATATAATGGAGGCACCATGAATGAACTAACCTGACTCATGGTCATGGTAGTCATGGTAATATAATGGAGGCACCATGAATGAACTAACCTGACTCATGGTCATGGTAGTCATGGTAATATAATGGAGCCACCATGAATGAACTAACCTGACTCATGGTCATGGTAGTCATGGTAATATAATGGAGGCACCATGAATGAACTAACCTGACTCATGGTCATGGTAGTCATAGTAACCTGACTCATGTGAATGAGTCTTCATTGGCAGAGCAGAGCAGAGTGTATATTTTCTCTGATTAAAAAACTCCCCCAAGTCATATACTACTACCCCCCCAAGGTCCCCCTCTTTTTCTAAATTAATATTTTCTAGATTCCTTGCGTCCTCTCCTCGCCTCCTTCTCAAAACACAATGGAGAAGAAGGTCCAAGGGGAGGGACCTTGGACCTTCTCCTACAATACGATTAAGGAGGTGGTGAGGTCGAATGTGAAGAATCGAGGAATGATGAATTGAGAAAAACTCAGGGCCTTACTTGTAACTCCTTACCTGCGAACTCAGGCGAGGGTTCGGCAGAAGTCAATTGGAGCGTCTCATCGATGTGGGAGCGGTCTCTGAGCTTTGGGGCCGGGGCTGCCTCCTCCACCACTGCTGATTGGAGGAAAAGCCTGTCAGTCAACTCCAAGGTCAGTCATCAGACCAAGGTCGAATCCAAACATGACATATCCATATCAATGACTCAGAAAGTTGAATTTACCCTGCATTATATGATGATGAGTATACCACCCCCCCCCCCCCCCCCCCCCCCCTTTGCCCTCAGAACAGCCTCAATTCATCGGGGCATGGATTCTACAAGGTGTCAAAAGCATTCCACAGGGATGCTGGCCCATGTTGACTCCAATGCCTCCCACAGTTGTCAAGTTGGCTGGATGTCCTTTGGGTGGTGGACCATTCTTGATACACACGGGCAACTGTTGAGCGTGAAAAACCCAGTAGCGTTGCAGTTCTTGACACAAATTGGTGTGATTGGCACGTACTACCATACCCCGTTCAAAGGCACTTTCACCCCCCCCCCCCCCCCCCCCCCCCCATAAAAAAAAGAAGAAAAAAAGTGGTTGTCCCACTGGCTATCATAAGTTGAATGCACCAATTTGTAAGTCGCTGGATAAGAGCATCTGCTAAATGATGTAAATGTAATACACAATCCATGTCTTCATTGTCTCAAGGGTTAAAAATCCTTCTTTAACCTGCCTCCTCCCCTTCATCTACACTGATTGAAGTGGATTTAAGTGACATAAATAAGGGATCATAGCTTTCACCTGGTCAGTCTATGTCATGGAAAGAGCAGGTGTTCTTAATGTTTTGTATACTCTGTGTATGCTTGTAATATGCCATTTATAAGACACTTTTATCCAAAGCGACTTGCAGTACAGTGTGCATACATGCTTGTCCGTCATGTAGAACTGGGAATTGTGTCAGCTCTATTCATTACATTTCTATCTAAACGTTTCTGAACATTCAGAAAGAAATGTAATGTGTAGAACAGATTTAACTGTCTGTCATGTAGAACTGGGAATCATGTGAGCTCTATTCATTACATTTCTATCTGAACGTTTCACCTTTGATCTCCCCTGAACATGACACCAACTGACTTCCTGCCATGATAACAGAACACTGACTGACCACAGCATCTGTTGTGTGGCTCTGCAGCCATCCGTCCATGTTGTTATATCAGTGTCCATCTGCCCATCTATCTATCTCTCCCCTTCCTCCCTCTATTTCTGTCCTGGCCAGCTAGGGGTTATTCCTGATGCCACCATTAGCTACACATATCAGGTTCTGGGGCATGGCATGGGCCAGGGAGAGAGGAAGGGAGGGAGGAGAGAGAGAGAGAGGGGGGGGGGGGGGGGGGGTAGGGAAGGAAGGAAGGAAGGAAGGAGAGGAGGGAGGGGAAGTGGTTAGAGAGAGAGAGAGAGAGAGAGAGAGAGCGAAGAGACGAGAGAGAGGAGAGAGAGAGAGAAAGGGTGGGATGGAGGGAGGGAAGGAAGGAAGGAAGGAAGGAAGGAAGGAAGGAAGGAAGGAAGGAAGGAAGGAAGGAAGGAAGGAAGGAAGGAAGGACAGGAAGGAAGGAGAAGGAAGGAAGGAAGGAAGGAGAGGAGGGAGGGGAAGTGGTTAGAGAGAGAGAGAGAGCGCGAGAGAGAGAGAGAGAAAGGGGGGGGATGGAGGGAGGGAAGGAAAGGAAGGAAGGAAGGAAGGAAGGAAGGAAGGAAGGAAGGAAGGAAGGAAGGAAGGAAGGAGGGGAAAGGGAGGGGAAAGGGAGGGAGGGGAAGTGGTTAGAGAGAGGAGAGAGAAAGAATGAGAGAGAGATGGAGGTTTAGAGATAGGGGGATGAGAGTAAAAGAGTAGGTAGGGAGATACTGTAGGAGCCAGACCAGAGCCTATGTCTTTTATAGCTGGTGTCAACACTAAGGCAGCAAATGGCAGAGTGTCAGTCTCCTGATTACAGTACCACTCGCTCATCATGGCTTTGAATACACTTGAGTCGACACTGTAAGGTTGACATTGAAGAGCCATCAACATGGCTCTTAAGAGCTGACTGAAGTGTATTCAAAGCACTGTGAAGAAGAGAAGGGGAGATATAACAGGATCCTGAAACAAAACTCCATCTCTACAGTATGTAACTTAAAAGGGCTTGCCAGAGGTACTTTTAGCATGAGCAATCACATTTAGTATAGAAATAATAAATGTCAACACATTGATATAAACAAGCAAGTTTGTATCCAAATTGTTTGGACAATAATGTTTTTCTCATTCAAATTATAAATTTGAATAATGCAGTACTCTATACCTTTTGCTGGTGCTTCTGCCTTTGCTGGTACATCCTCCACTGTCACATCCTCAACAGGCGCCTCCTCAAAAACAGTCGCCTCCTCCTTAACAACAACAACAGGTGCCTCCTCTTCCACCACCGCCTCCTCCTCAAAAACATGTACCTCCTCCACAATAGCTGCCACCTCCTCCACCACCTCCTCCTCCTTCATCGCCTCCACAACCACCTCACCTACTTCTACAGGTTCTGGAGCTGCTTCCGCAGGTTCCGGAGTGGGTTCCAGAGCAGCTTCCTCTACAACAGGCTCTGTTTCTGGCTCTACTTCTACTACAGCCTCCTCTGGTTCTGGAGCCACCTCCTCGACCACCACCTCTGGCTCGGGTTCAACCACTTCAGATTCCACTACAGGTTCTGGCTCGGGTTCAACCAGCTTGGGTTCCAACACAGGTTCAGCCACTACTACTACTGCCTCCTCTACGGCCTCCTCTACGGCCTCCTCTACGGCCTCCTCTACGGCCTCCTCTACGGCCTCCTCTACGGCCTCCTCAACCGCTACCTCCTCAACTGGTTCCTCTACTGCAGGTTCTTCTTCTACTGTTTCCTCTACTGCCTCTTTGACTACCTCCACTTCCTCCTCCATGGCCACAGCTTCCTCAACTGCTTCCTCTTCCTCTACAACCTCTTCTTCCTCGGCTTCAGGTTCTGCCTCAACCTCCTCTACAACCTCTTCTTCAGACGTGGAAGCTTCCTCCACTTTTTCCTCCTCAGACGAGGCAGCTTCCTCCACTGCTTCCTCCTCAGACGAGGCAGCTTCCTCCACTATCTCCTCTGATGCTTGGACCTCCTCTGAAGTCTCTGCAGACTCCACAGATTCTTCCTCAGCTATCACCTCCTCAGATGCAGCCTCCTCTTCCTCCTCCTCCTCCTCCTCCTCGCTCGCTACCTCCTCCATGGGGACCTTCTCTGTGGAGGCTAGGGGCTCTTCTTTGGCCGATGTAGCAAGGCTTGGTGGAGGGTTACAGGACTGACACACAGAGCCTGGGGCCGGGGTGTCGTTGGAGGAGCTTTGGCCTCCATGGTCGTCTACGGAGTCACAGGAGAGGTCACAGGAGAGCGGCACGTGGAGATGCAGCTCATCAGGGCTGGAGGCCTCTACCACTAGGTCTGCAGAGACAGAGAGAGCGAGAGGTGAGTCTGTTAATGATAAAGATGTCAGTATAAAGAGAGAGAAGGGTTTAGGTCTGGTAATCACTGAACGGCCATGTTAGAAAAGACAACAGCCTCTCTGTTATTGAGCATGGTTTAATTTCTATAACTTTCTATAAGTTACAGTTCAATTAATACAATTGGAGACCTCTAACACTTCTGTATTGATTTGACACACAAGGAGCGGCATTAAAGGATTTATAATCATCATGATGATGTGGCAAGTTACAATTTGCTTTTTGAAAGTCTGATATTTTGAAAACTTGATTGCTGAACTTCATCAACAGTGGAATAATGAAGAAAATACCAAAATATAGTTTTTCAGTAGATTACTCCTTTAATCTTCTTGTAAAGCATAGAAGCATTGGCTCCAAACATCTTATTGAATCAACTTACATGTACAGATATACAGACATTATGGATAAACCCAATTGCTCGCTTTATCCAAAATAGCCCTTATTCATCACACTGGACACTTTCACAGCCACTATTTATTTTCCTGCATCAACGCCTGTCTGTCCAGAACAGACTTGGTGTGTGACTGTTTGTAATGCCAAGAGCAGATTGAATACTCAACACTCTCTCCGATTGCCACGCTCAGATTTCAGCTCCTTGAATGGAGATGCTTAGGCTAAGGCACAGACTATTTGAGGGGAGCAGACATAGGTAAAGACAGCACTGTAGAGACAGACTCCGACAATGAACCCTGTGTCAGGAAGTCATATTATTACATGTCAAAATGATGTCACTCTGGGAACTCTGTTCCTACGCGTTCTCTCCCAATTGTACTCCTGTTTAGACTGCATGTTTGTAGACAGTGAAATCTGAGCTAGCTACAGTAATGTAAATCTATGAAAGTAGCCATGGATATTAAAGTAACCTCTGACACAGAATAGCTAGGAGACCTGGGTTAGACCCGAGTTAGAACCCCAGTCCGTCACACATACACATGACAGTGTGTACTCACTAGGAATGTAATCTTGGGTTTTGTTGTCGGTTGTAATGCTGACAATGCCCAGAGGAGGTGATAAATGGGCATAGCTCACACACACACACACACAGGAGGTGATGACCGACCGATCATGAGCAGTAAATTGTTTATTCGTGAATCAGAGCCCAGAATAGGAAGCCCATGGAGAGAACACACAGAGAGTACAGAGAGTCCCATTTGTGTACCATGGACAGTCATGGACAGTCACACGGGTGTTAAGCTTTCTGCCCTGACCCATTTGATCAATGTGTGTGTTGAGTCAGATGCGATTTATCTTGAGTCTGAGGATCTTAACTCAAAGGGCTTTGTGGCGCATTTTCAAGTCCACATTTAACATTAACATTGGGCCGGTAGAAGAAGCTAGTATCATTCTTCCTGTCTGCAAGTCAAGGATTCTGCAGAAACCATTAGATCAAATCCATCATGTATAAGACGTTAGCATACACAGTCACAAACTCCTATGCCGTTATAGGTTAGCCTATAGCTTGGCGATTAGTCGCTAGCTGCTAGCATTGGTCAACAAGATGTGTCACCTCTTCTTAGAAGAATAGGGAATCACACAGCACAGATGAGAATAACACAGCACACCTAAACACCTGTGTCATCATCACCATACAACTATGTTAGCCTTTAGCTTAGCAATTAGCCGCTTGGCACTAGCAGTGGGCAATGAGACTGCATGTGCCATGTTAGCCTTTTGCTAGCAATTAGCCTGTTGGCGCTAGCACTGAGCAATGAGACTGCATGTGCCATGTTAGCTGTTTGCTAGAATTTAGCCTGTTGGCGCTAGCAGTGAGCAATGCAGCTCATATCAGCCAAGTCTTGTCAGCCATTGAAGGTGAGAATCACACTGCAGCTGTCCATGCCATGGATACAACCTGTTCTATGCCGCTGCCTTGAAACATGAACCTGCAGACATACACATAGAGCCCATTCACCACCATACTATGTCCAACTGTGCCCCACTACACATCCCACTACAGGCCGTTCTAACCGGACTGCTAAGACCTCACAGGGTGGTATTTAGCCAGTTGGGGACATGTGTGACGACGTATGTTCCTTTGTGGTCCTTTAGGTCCATAGCATCCCCACTTAACTGTTTAGGGAGTTTGTGTAACATGGAAGGAGGGTGCCCATGTATGTTTTGAATGGCAACTGTAAATAAATATATTTTGGAGCTCTATAACTTCGAGCCCGGGTCTTCTAAAGGCCAAAAGTCCGTATTAGCACTCTGAGCTAAAGCCTAGGCATCAGCTAGGGGAGCTAACAAGAGTTTTCAGGTCCATGGTTCTGAACCTGACTGATATAGTCCTATATGCCTTTTAGCTGAACAAATGACCCCTCCATTACAGTTTCCTGTTGACCTGAACTCATCTAGCCGCTGAAAGCAGACAGAGGATACATTTCATATTCTGAAGTTAAGTTTTTTTCAGTCCTTCTACTCGTGTAACTATTCGCGGTATGCGTTAACCTCGGACGTCCAGGCTTTGCTCACGTTGCCTGTGACAGAGGCTAGGCATGCGTTACAAACCAACAGCACCACATCCTGACCGTCAGTCAGATAGCATTACTTCAAAAAATGGGGCTGTAAAAAGCCACCGTCTGCGTACCAAATGGCACCCTATTCCGTACATATGGGCCCTGGTCAAAAGCAGTGCACTAAATAGGGTATAGGGTATAGGGTGTTGAGTCCGTCACACTCTGGCAAAGCCTGAAAGCACATGGATTTCCAGGGCTTTGATCACAGATCTCCCCGGGACAAGGAGAGGGCATCACTGATCTATCCGATCGGTAAGCAGTGTCCTATTCGGCAAGAGTGTAGCGCAAGTAACATTAAGGTCATAGGTTGAATTCCTGCGTGATCAGATAATGTAAGTCACTGTGGATAAAAGCATCTGCTAAGTTGCATATTTATTTATGTATGTATTTAGGCCCACTCCTACAGCCTATTTGTCCTGCAGCACCAGTCTGCCACAAACAGGGGGCGGTAATGGGTGATAAGAAGAACACGAGAGGTGTTTCTCTCTCACCCCTGGCATTCAATGTAGCCTTTGGCTCGCTGACCCCCAGTCATAAACAGTCTCCCACCGACTTAAGTGTACCCTGGGTGTCCCTAATTAAATAAAACCAACGAGATGGGGAGTGTGTGTGTTAGAGAAAGAGAGAGAGAGAGCAAGAGAGCATGTGTGTGTGTGCTGAAGGTGGGTGGGTGTGTGTGTGAGAAGAACTTGGAAGGCAATGTGATAGGAAATCCAGAGGGGCCAAATGAAATGCTCACTGCCGCCCTCGCGGGTTGGATGGCACCCATAGACATAGTGCGTCGTCGATTGTCTGTCTGTGTGTCTGTGTGTGTGTGTGTGTGTGTATGTGACGAGATGTGGATTGGACGGCATCCATAGACATAGTCCGACAGCGTCGTCAGTCGTCTGCACAGTTACATGAACGTGTGTACGGACGGCAAGAATTTGAATGGTGTAACGTTGTCAGGTTACCAGCATTGATACAACATTAGGTAACGGGGTCAAACATTAACGAGAGACCGTTTGTTTGTTTATGTTGACTTAATATATATTTTTTAACTACTTTTCCCTTTAAGGGCCACTATAATCATTGAATGAAGATTCTGTGGTAAAGACATGGAGCTAAGCAATAGCAATAGCCTGGACAGTCATGACTTAAACCGACCAAATATCCAAATGTTGATCCCGTTTTCAGAAATAGAAAAATTTGTTTGTTGATACAGGTATTCCACAGGATCGTATTTGGTAGCAGCCAAGTAGCTTAATTTAATTAGAGTTAACGCAGTTAGGGAGATGGAGGGAGGGAAAGAGGGATGGAGGGACGGGAGAATGAAGAGACTACATATGGGAATGATCGCTGGGGTTTTCCCCCTAAGCTTAGATAAAGATCACTGTAAAAGTTCAACAGCAGGGAAAGAGAGAGAGAGAGAGACAGAGAGACTGTCACGTTCGTTCATGAACGAGAAGGACCAAGGCGCAGCGTGATATGCCAACATGTTTATTTAACGAATAAACACAACGAAAAACAATAAACTAACGATATGTGATGTCCTAAGGTACACACAACAAACCTCACACGGAACAAGATCCCACAACCCACTAGTGCCCATAAGCTGCCTAAGTATGGTACCCAATTAGAGACAACGAGCGACAGCTGCCTCTGATTGAGAACCACACCGGCCAACATAGATCTAGACATACTAGATCTAAACATAGAAAATACAACATAGGAAAACACAACAAGGAAAATACAAACCCTGACTCAACATATAAGCGTCCTCTGAGTCAAGGCGTGACAGAGACAGAGAGAGCGAGAGAGTGAGAGAAAGAGAGAGGAGTAGGAGGGAGAGAAGGGGGGGGGGTGAGAGAGAGACAGTGAAAGAGAAAAGAGATGAGAGATAGGAGACATAGAAGGTGATGAGAGAGAGAGATAGAGAGAGATAGAGCATATAATAGATCATACAGTATGGTATAGCATATATATGGGATATATACCATAGGATACCCTAATAATATTGACTAATGTACAATAGAACATTTACTGGACTAGGATTAACCAGCTTTTAGACCTCACTCTGTGCTTGTCACGATTATTTTAGCAATCAAACAAACACAGCACAAATAGGCTGTTGCATTGTAATCCTGTTAATATACAGTTATGTAACACCGGACAGTGAGCCTGTTCCTGGTTGGTCTCCAGCCCCAAGACCCTGCCCTGGCAGTGTGAGTACCCAGGCAGAGTACATCAAAGTGGGGATGGAGTGGGACAGGTGCCTGGGGCATGGTGCCTGGGTCCTACTGGTCTCAATCAGGGATATGAATAGATCTACAATGAGTCAGATAGAGGAATGGAAAGCTGCTATATTCAGGAGGAGTGACGTTGTCCTTCCCTGACGATTGTCACTGATTGTCACCGGCCTTGACGACAGCCTTATTGCGCATATGCACAGCAACGCTCACTAATACGGACAAGCAAACACGCAAGCACGCTCCCTACTTCAACACATTATCCCTCTGTCTCTCTTTCACACACACACACACACACACACACACCACAGCTGCTGTCACTCTAGGGCAGGGTTTCCCAAACTCTGTCCTGGGCCCCCCCTGGGTGCACGTTCTGGTTTTTGCCCTAGCGCTACACAGCTGATTCAAATAACCAACTCATCATCAAGCTTTGATTATTTGAATCAGCTGTACTAGGGCAAAAACCAAAACATGTACCCAGGGGGGGCCCCAGGACCGAGTTTGGGAAACCCTGCTCTAGGGGGCTCTAGCTCTGTCACTATCATAAGGTATTTCTGTTGCGGCGTCCATATAGGGGCATCCATTATCAGGATGCACTGCCCAACAGACAGGCTGCTACTGAACACTGCTATAGTCTGTCTATAGCACCACTTTGTACCAGCGTGTGTGTGTGTGTGTGTGTGTGTGTGTGTGTGTGTGTGTGTGTGTGTGTCCTGTTATAGCACTGGGGGCATCCCCTACACATGGACTACTGACTATCTGCAACTGCAGCTTATCAAGCTGTGCAGACACAAATAGGTTTGCAGAACTACAGAGAAATGGCTTTTGCATTTAGAATATCAAATGCATGGACTACATTGTACATAGTCTTTGGCAAACCCCACAGAACCCTATTGTAGTAAGGCTGCAAACAGACCCACACTGGCAGTGGGTGTATCTATGAGTCTCTGTGACATTTGTATGGTGTCTGGTTACAGCAGCACACTCACTAAGGCTCCAGCCACCTGACTAACTATGGAGGCCTGGAAGGTACAGGGATTAAGTGACAGCAAGGACAAGCAAGGGTATCCCCCCCCCCCCAAGCCTGGGACAGCCATAGACATACACAGTCTATATACCTCCACAGTCAGCCAGCCTGGGACAGCCATAGACATACACAGTCTATATACCTCCACAGTCAGCCAGCCTGGGACAGCCATAGACATACACAGTCTATATACCTCCACAGTCAGCCAGCCTGGGACAGCCATAGACATACACAGTCTATATACCTCCACAGTCAGCCAGCCTGGGACAGCCATAGATATACACCATCTACAGTACCAGTCAAAAGTTTGGACACATCTACTCATTCAAGTGTTTTTCTTTATTTTTTACTATTTTCTACATTGTAGAATAATAGTGAAGACATCACAACTATGGAAAAACACATATGGAATCATGTAGTAACCCAAAAATATATTTTAGATTTTAGATTCTTCAAAGTAGCCACCCTTTGCCTTGATGACAGCTTTGCACACTCTTGGCATTCTCTCAACCAGCTTCACCTGGAATGCTTTTCAAACAGTATTGAAGGAGTTCCCACATATGCTGAGCACTTGTTGGCTGCTTTTCCTTCACTCTGCGGTCCAACTCATCCCAAACCATCTCAATTGGGTTGAGGTCAGCGATTGTGGAGGCCAGGTCATCTGATGCAGCACTCCATCACTCTCGTTCTTGGTCAAATAGCCCTTACACAGCCTGGAGGTGTGATGGGTCATTGTCCTGTTGAAAAACAAATTATAGTCCCACTAAGCGCAAACCAGATGGGATGGCGTACCGCTGCAGAATGCTGTGGTAGCCATGCTGGTTAAGTGTGCCTTGAATTCTAAATAAATCACAGACAGTGTCACCAGCAAAGCACCCCCACACCATCACACCTCCTCCTCCATGCTTCACGGTGGGAACCACACATGCGGAGATCATCCGTTCACCCACTCTGCATCTCACAAAGACACGGCGGTTGGAACCAAAAATCTTGAATTTAGACTGATTAGACCAAAGGACAGATTTCCACCGGTCTACTGTCCATTGCTCATGTTTCTTGGCTCAAGCAAGTCTCTTCTTCTTATTGGTGTCCTTTAGTAGTGGTTTCTTTGCAGCAATTCGACAATGAAGGCCTGATTCAAGCAGTCCCCTCTGAACAGTTGATATTGAGATGTGTCTGTAACTGTGAAGCATTTATTTGGGCTGCAATTTCTGAGGCTGGTAACTCTAATGAACTTATCCTCTGCAGCAGAGGTAACTCTGGGTCTTCCTTTCCTGTGGCGGTCCTCATGAGAGACAGTTTCATCATAGCGCTTTCATCACAGCGCTTGAAACTTTAAAAGTTCTTGAAATATTCCGGATTGACTGACCTTCATGTCTTAAAGTAATGATGGACTGCCGTTTCTCTTTGCTTATTTGAGCTGTTCTTACCATACATTTACATTTTAGTCATTTAGCAGACGCTCTTATCCAGAGCGACTTACAGTTAGTGAGTGCATACATTTTTCATACTGGCCCCCCGTGGGAAACGAACCCACAACCCTGGCGTTGCAAGCGCCATGCTCTACCAACTGAGCTACAGGGGACCATAATATGGACTTTTACCAAATAGGGCTATATTCCCCCCCCCCCCCCCCCCCCCCCCACCTTGTCACAACACAACTGATTGGCTCAAACGCATTAAGAAGGAAAGAAATTCCACAAATTAACTTTTAAGAAGGCACACCTGTTAATTGAAATGCATTCCAGGTGACTACCTCATTAAGCTGGTTGAGAGAATGCCAAGCGTGTACAAAGCTGTCATAAGGCAAAGGGTGGCTACTTTGAAGAATCTCAAATATAAAATATATTTTGATTTGTTAAACACTTTTTTGGTTACTGCATGATTCCATATGTGTTATTTCATAGTTTTGATGTCTTCACTATTATTCTACAATGTAGAAAATAGTAAAAATAAAGAAAAACCTTTGAATGAGTAGATGTGTCAAAACCTTTGACTGGTACTGTATATATATGTACAGTGGTTTACGAAAGTATTCACCCCCCTTGGCATTTTTCCTATTTTGTTGCCTTACAATCTGGAATTAAAATGGATTTTTTGGGGGTTTGTATCATTTGATTTACACAACATGCCAACCACTTTGAAGATGCAAAATATTTTTTATTGTGAAGCAAATAAGAAATAAGACAAAATAACAGAAAACTTGAGCGTGCATAACTATTCACCCCCCCAAAGTCAATACTTTGTAGAGCCACCTTTTGCAGCAAATACAGCTGCAAGTCTCTTGAGGTAGGTCTCTATAAGCTTGGCACATCTAGCCACTGGCATTTTTGCCCATTCTTCAAGGCAAAACTGCTGCAGCTCCTTCAAGTTGGATGGGTTCCGCTGGTGTACAGCAATCTTTAAGTCATACCATAGATTTTCAATTGGATTGAGGTCTGGGCTTTGACTAGGCCATTCCAAGACATTTAAATGTTTCCCTTTCAACCACTCGAGTGTTGCTTTAGCAGTATGCTTAGGGTCATTGTCCTGCTGGAAGGTGAACCTCCGTCCCTGTCTCAAATCTCTGGAAGACTGAAACAGGTTTCCCTCAAGAATTTCCCTGTATTTAGCGCCATCCATCATTCCTTCAATATTGACCAGTTTCCCAGTCCCTGCCGATGAAAAACATCCCCACAACATGATGCTGCCACCACCATGCTTCACTGTGGGGATGGTGTTCTCGGGGTGATGAGAGGTGTTGGGTTTGCGCCAGACATAGCGTTTTCATTGATGGCCAAAAAGCTCAATTTTAGTCTCATATGACCATAGTCCATAGGTTTGGGGAGTCTCCCACATGCCTTTTGGCGAACACCAAACATGTTTGCTTATTTCTTTCTTAAAGCAATGGCTTTTTTCTGGCCACTCTTCTGTAAAGCCCAGCTCTGTGGAGTGTACGGCTTAACGTGGTCCTATGGACAGATACTCCAATCTCCGCTGTGGAGCTTTGCAGCTCCTTCAGGGTTATCTTTGGTCTCTTTGTTGCCTCTCTGATTAATGCCCTCCTTGCTTGGTCCATGAGTTTTGGTGGGCGGCCCTCTCTGGGCGGCCCTCTCTTGGTGCCATATTATTTCAAGTTTTTAATAATGGATTTAATGGTGCTCTGTGGGATGTTCAAAGTTTCTGATCTTTTTCTTATAATCCAACCCTGATTTGTACTTCTCCACAACTTTGTCCCTGACCTGTTTGGAGAGCTCCTTGATCTTTATGGTGCCGCTTGATTGGTGGTGCCTGTTGCTTAGTGGTGTTGAAGACTCTGGGTCCTTTCAGAACAGGTGTATATATACTGAGATCATGTGGCACTTAGATTGCACACAGGTGGACTTTATTTAACTAATTATGTGACTTCTGAAGGTAATTGGTTGCACCAGATCTTATTTAGGGGTGTCATAGCAAAGGGGGTGAATACATATGCACGCACCACTTTTCCATTATTAATTTTTAGACTTTTTTGAAACAAGTTATTTTTTTAATTTCACTTCACCAATTTTGACTATTTTGTGTATGTCCATTACATGAAATCCAAATAAAAATCAATTTAAATTACAAGGTGTAATGCAACAAAATAGAAAAAACGCCAAAGGGGGATGAATACTTTTGGAAGGCATTGTAATAGCATTGAGGTATGAATAATGATACAATAGATAAGTGATAATAATGAAATAAATACTAAATTCCTCATTTTTCAAATGAAATAAAGTTGTATTTCTACATCCCCATGACCATGTTCTCATGATCAGCCTTTCACACACTCTTGCCAACAGTCTACTACTCTCTCTCTCAATCTCAAGTAAGACTCAGGATGCAAGTGGCATTCATATTCAGTTAATATCACAAACCCTCGTATAGGGTCTGCACTGCAGCCATTGGCATTTCCATTCATTCAAAAAGTCTGACATTCGTATGTCCCCCTCGACCTCTTTCTGAGCAAAGGAACATGCCCATCTACAGTAATAAAAACTTAATGGACTAATTTGTTTTCTTCTTTTAATCTTAATTGATGTAATCTTACCTGCAGCGACCAGGACGAGCAGGGAGAGCAAGCAGCACACAGAGACCTGTAGAGGCTTCATTTTGGCTGCCAGGGGCCTCCCTCCTCTACCAGCAGTTATATATACCCCTCTGGATAAAGGTCAAAGGGCGTGCCAAGGAAGGAGGGGCCTGGTAATGTCACAGGCAGCAACTACACCCGCGTCAGCCATTCCGTGTCTAAGTAGAGGGCTCTGGGAGGGTGGCTAATGTAAGTCAATGGTAATGTCACACAGCAGCAACTGCACCTGTGTCCACCATTCTGTGTCAAAGCAGTTGCCCTGGTTCTATAAGGGGAGAGAACAGACAGCGAAAAGTGTCAGGAAGTTTCACTGTTCGTATTGGGAAACACTCTTTTCACGCCACTTCGATACTGAAGTGACTTTTTAGTAGCAGGTTAGGAGAACTTACGCTGAAGGTTAGGATAATTAACGTAGCAGGTTAGGAGACTGACGTCAAGGTTAGGGAAAATGCTCTCCTAACCTGCTATGAAAATCACTTCGTATCGAAGTGGCGTGAAAAGAGTGTATGCTGTTCGTATTGGTCACTAGTCACCATAGGGACAGTTTCCCGGACCCAGATTAAGAGCCAACTGCTGAAATAAAAAGCTGACTCAACAGAGAATATGAAAGTAATTTTGCTCCAGGAGTAGGGTTCATCTAGGTTCAGGAATTAAGGTTAAATAGGTCAGGATGAGACAGAGGCGGATACAGATTCTAAAACAAAGATACAAGCTTCTCCATATAAAAAAAAACAAGTTATAGTATAGCAAAACGTTTCCATTTGAGATTTGATTAGCTGTTCTTATAGAGGCAATACTGCTGAGTTTGTGTACTTCTATTTTGATTTGACAGTACAACAGACTGAACATAATTCAATTATATAAATAATGTCTATAGCGAAAGGAAAGGGGGGATACCGAGTCAGTTGTACAACTGAATGCATTCAACTGAAATGGGACATAACTTTTATGGGTTTATTGTTTAAACTAGCTGCCACCACCTCTTTAATCTAGCGGAGTTGTAACCCTAAACCTTTACAAGATTCAAATAAGACTAACACTGGGGGTCTGGGATGAAGAATAGGTATAAATCAAATCAAAGCAAACTTTAAATGCACTTTGAGTGAAGTTTGGTTTGATCCTATTCTTTGGCTTTGATTCTTGGTTGGGATGGAGACGTGAATCCAACATATAAACTATTAATTTGTAGACAAACTGGAATTTGTTGACAACCAAACACAATTCAATATCACTTTTGGAATACAGTAAATAGGCTATTAACTTGTCGACAAGTTAACAGATGATATGTTGGATTCACGTCTCCAAATAAACCAAAAATACAATTTAGATAATAGGATTATGCCAGTGGTTCATATGAAACTATCCAAGCATTAGATATCCTTTAAATGTTGATATTTGGTTGTGTTGTCAACCAAACACAATTCAATAATATTTTTGTAATACAGTAAATAGCCTAAAGTTAAGGCTATCTTACAAACAGTATTAATTCAACCTTGAGTAACACATCCATGGCCACATTGAGGTTAACCTACTGTAAAATTAAAAAAACAAGTGTTTGTCATAAATCCTATCTGCATCCCAAATGGCACCCAACTCCCTATATAGTGCACTACTTTTAAATTGTGTATTTATTCCTAGCGTTATATTTATAATATCTTTAAATGTTTTTCTCTGAATTATTGAGAAGTAAACATTTCACTGTTAGTCTAAACCTGTTGTTTACAAAGCATGTGGCAAATAAAATTATGATTTGACTTACATTTGACCACAGCCATATGGGCCCTGGTCAAAAGTAGTGTACTTTATAGGGAATAGGGTGCCAGCAGGTAGCCTAGCCATTAAGAGAGTTGGGCTAGTAACTGAACGGTCACTGGTTTAAATCCCTGAGCCGGCAAGGTGAAAAAAATCTACCGTTATGCCCTTGAGCAAGGCAGTTAACCCCAAACAACAACTGCTCCCCAGGCGCCGATGACGTTGATTTCCCCCACTAATGGTTAGGTTAGGATTGGGGGAGCCGACACTGATCCTAGAGCTGTACCTAGGGGAAACTTCAACAAGCGCTCTAAGAATGCTGGGGGATTCTAGAATGTTAGTCACTTAAACAGCACCCCCTAGTGGACATAAGTGGAACATGTCAACTTAGAATGGGTGACGCTTTACTTGGATGATGAACTTACAGGTACTTAAAGGTCCAATGCAGCCGTTTTTATATTAATATCAAATCATTTCTGGGTAACAATTAAGTACCTTTCTGTTAATTAAAATGGTCAAAAAGAAACAAAAATAGCTTTGCAAAGAGCAAGAATTTTGCTAGGACTCTCTGGCCTAGCCTTTTCACAACAGATCTTACACTAAAAGTGCATTAACATAATTTTCACAATATTATTCCAACCTCAGTGTGGAAATATATATAAAGTAAGGAAAATCACATTTTTGATTGCACTGGGGCTTTTAAATACTTATTAAACAAAATTGTAAAAGCAGGTTCAGGGTGGCAGCTTCATAACTAATTACACTAACTCTTCATCATTCAAAAGGTCAAATAAAATGTAAGACATTAAAAAACAAAGTACAAATTTTATTGTATTTTTTCTTTACAAAGGCCTGTTTTTCACAACAAGTTTATTTTCTTAAACAAAATATAACAGCTTCTCATCGACCCGGACCGACAAAAAAAGAAATAAAAAATAAAAATGTCTGTAATTTAAAAAATAGGAGAAGAGGGGTGAAACAGAGAGAGCGAGGCAGAGAGAGAGATGACAGAGAGAAATGAACATATTGGAAGAAAAGGAGCGATATAAACACAGCTGTTCGGTTTTAAGTCACAGCGAAAAGAGCTTGATCAACATAGTAAAAATCTTCATCATCGCCGTCGTCGTCCTTGATTCAGGCAGTACAGACCGGGAAGTGCTTCATATCAATAATCTCTAATTATTGATTATTAAGAGATTCTCTAACAACCAACAATCTCTCGGGACACCAGTGCTGAAATATGATGCACACATATTTAGTATAAAAAATGTTTTTTTGTTTTTTTTAAACGAAGGTACTGGCAGTGTCCCAAATGGAAACCTATTCCCTACATTGTGCACTCTTTATACCAGGGCCCTGGTAAAAAAAAGTAGTGCACTATATAGGGTGCCATTTGGGACACATCCACTGTCTCGCAGCAGTCAGTGAGTATAGCTACTATTCTAACCAGATTTGAAGTTCACACAAAATGATCAGTTTCCCCTCCAACTGACAATAGGTTGCCAGTCTGTTTCTGCTCTCTTGCCAACTCCTAATGGAATTGTCATGCGTTTTGGCTTGACAATGACAACAGAGTTAGGCAAGAGCACAAACAGATCTGGGACCAGGCTAAATAGACAATAATATTGTAACCAGTTGTGAAGTTGAATCTCAGTCCACAAAATGAATGAGCTTCGTCACCCCAAATTAACCACTGTCCCATTGGAGCCAAGTTCTCACACATGAAGAGCTTCATGTAGACAGTGGCTACGTCTACAATGGAACCCTATATGCTAAATAGTGCACTAGTTTTGGCCAGTGCCTCATTAGTGCGCTATGTAGGGAATAGGGTGCCATTTTGTACGCAGACAATGACTAAGTAAGAAAATCCCACAATTTTTTTACAAATAATAATCAGCACAAATTACTCAAAAGTAGAAAAAAACGGACATAAAAATGAACACAGCGTCAATTGGCAATAGAGCATGGAGGGATGAAATAAGAAAAAACGAAAATAAAGTCAAAATAAATGGAATGTTTTTACAGCATCATTTCAGATTCAGCATTCCTAGGAACAGGAGTTTTTCCCTGACCACCAGATCTGTACAGGAAAACTCCTGGCCCTAGTTGTAGCCTAAAACATGGTTCAGGAAAAACTCCTGACCCTTAGCATCATATCAACATAGCATATTAGAGGAAGTGAGAGAGAAACTCCAGGCTTCCAGAGAAATAACAGGAATTCCAGTCCCGTTCCCAAAACAAACTGACAACATGGAGGGGTACGAGGGGCAAAGGGGTGGGCATATTTCTAGTTCAGTGCTTGTGTAGGAGTTCTGAGCGCTACCCTTTGGGTTAGGATATGCCCCCAGGGGGTTTAAAAATCTACAATGGTAAAAGTTGGGGGTCTCAGAGGGCATACGATCCCTGTTAACACAATCAGAGAAAAATACTACATTCTTCAATGTATGTAGGTATGCATGTAGTTACATATATGTGTTATGACTGTAGACACCAGTTGACATAGACGGGTTGGCTGAGCATTTAACGAAAATTATGCACAAGCATCGATGAGGCAGAAGGCCGTGTGGTGTTATGATTCTGAACGGTCAGCTAGCTCTACCAACTGGCTCCTGTAGCTCAGTTGGTAGAGCATGGTGCTTGCAACGCCAGGGTTGTGGGTTCGATTCCCACGGGGGGCCAGTATGAAAAATGTATGCACTCGCTAACTGTAAGTCGCTCTGGATAAGAGCATCTGCTAAATGACTAAAATATAGCAACAATGCCTAGAAGCTGCCTTGATGGGAATCGTAGGTGGCTTGTTGTATCTTGTTACTGATCCCATGTCTTGTTTTGACTATGGCTAAATTTCACTAGTTAGCTAACCAACAACTGTAACAATGTATTTGAGAGAAGTGCTCATTTCAAAAAACATTGAGACAATCTAAGCCAACCCCGTCTGTTTTGCCCCACAGTTGCACACGCATCGGTTTTGTTGCTAGACAACCACCCATCTATACTGTATGCATGTTATGTTCTCTTGTTGAGGTGCATAGATTTTAAAAAATCACCCTTTCACCCAATATTAAACACTTTTGCCTAATATTTAACACTACCCCACCTATAAAACAAATTTACTGTAGCTTGGAATTGCATAAATACCTAAAAAAGTTTAGTGCATAGTGACTGAAATAAACAAAAATCAAAGAGACCTAATTGGAATCTATCCTCTTCTCAGTAAACCTGACACTTATGAAAAAAAGTAAATTTCTTCTTCTTTTTTTAAAGATGAAAACAACATTGAAACGTTAAGAGAATGGTACACTGCTTGCTTCTATGTAACCCCAATAGAGCTAGTGACACAACTTATTCTGTAAGTTTCATTCATACATGTGATTAATGGGATCCAGCTAAGTACCAGCTGTGTTTTATTCTGCTAGAGCCAACCTATCGCTGTCTATTGTCTTAAGGACTTTCCAGACAGGAAGCGATGGGGCGGAGCGAGGTTAGCAAAAATAGAACAGTTACCCATTTTCTCCACTTCGGCTGAGCGGCTTTCACGTGCACGAGCACCGCCAATCGCTCCACCCGGAAAGAATTCCGCCCCCTGCCTGGCTCCATTGAAAATTAATGGGCAATTCCGCCGCAGCTTCGTGTCTGGAAAGCCCTTTATGATAGACTGTGATTAGGGACTATATGTTGCAATGTCTATACTAGATAGTGTGATTAGGGACTATATGTTGCAATGTCCATACTAGATAGTGTGATGGTACTACAAGGGTAAAATAACAAGTGCACCCCTTTGTCCCTGCTCTAACGAAATTGGAGAAATGTGTAAGAGGGGGAGTTCTGATGATAGCCTAATCAAACTGGTTTAAACTGGTTATGAGTTACATTCTCCAGTACATTGAGAGTTGTACTAAACAGTAATTAACATTTTATACTGTAACGTGTGTTGACGTAAGGATGGATCACTGTGACAGTATGAAGCAACCATCTATAGAATGGGCTGGGAGACGGAGAGGGAAAGATGCCTGTGGACTTTCCCCGTGATTTCAGTCCCAACTCTATAGATGTACCGTATGGCTGCGGCCCAAACGGCCCCCTATATAGGGGAAAGGGGGATATCTAGTCAGTTGTACAACTGAATGCATTCAACTGAAATGTGTCTTCCGCATTTAACCCAAACCCTCTGAATCAGAGAGGTGCGGAGGGCTGCCTTAATCGACATCCACGGCGCACGGGGAACAGTGGGTTAACTGCCTTGCTCAGGGGCAGAACAGATTTTTACCTCGTCAGCTCAGGGATTCGATCCAGCAACCTTTCGGTTACTGGCCCAACGCTCCTACCCGCCACCCCATATATAGTGCATTACTTTTGACCATGTGGCAACCCTATGGGCCTTGGTCTAAAGTAGTGCACTACATAAGGATGCAATTTCATGCATATGAATGTATCCCACGGCGGCCATATTGAGCCAACTTCTTCACCTGTGATTTAAAAGTACACGATCTGAACAAAGCTTATCATAACTACTGGGTGGCTCTATGATAATTATAATGCCAAAGACAGTTTAAAAAAAGAAACATATCAAAAAGTAGTCAGGCGTCTGGAGGGAATCTTTGTGACCGTCTTCTACAGTGGGTGGGTATCGCTAACGTGTGTGTGTTCCATTTGTTTGTCACTGGTTTGAGATTGAATTTGGATTTTAGTAGAACAAGTGTCATTTTTTCACTCTACCAGTCAAGATGCTGTCTGAATGTGTTTGTATCAGTGTGTGTGTGTGGCAGCGAACAGTTCATCAAGCAGTCCTCTCCCTTGCTGTCAAACTGTCTGGAGAGAACATGTTGTGTGTGTTTATACAGTATGTATCAGTGTGTGTGTATATATGTATCGGTGTGTGTGTGTGTGTATCAGTGTGTGTGTCTGTGGTAGCTAACAGTTCATTGAGCAGCCTTGGCTCTTGCTGTCTGAAACTGTGAAGAGAACACGGTATGTGTGTGTATCTCTGTGTGTTAGTTAATGGAACAGTCCTCCTCTCCCTCGCTGTCGGAGGCCGTGTCAGAGCCGGCGGTATCCATGGCGACGTGGGCGGGGCTGACGATGACTGCTCGTCTCCTCTCATCCTCAGCACTGCCCCTCCTCTCCTGGGTACGCTCTATGTGCTGGATGGCCTGGAGGGCAGAGGTCATAGAGAATTCTAAGGTCAAAGGTCATATGAGTCAGTGACACTGTACGTAATGGGGTTATCTATACACCTCACACTCAAACATATGCTCTCTGTCTCTCTCGCAAACACACACATCACTATAGCACTAAAGACATCATAGAGAGCACAAGTGCACAAGGATACACACTGAGCTTCACTATAGAAACCCTACAGAGCACAAGGATACACACTGAGCTTCACTATAGAAACCCTACAGAGCACAAGGATACACACTGAGCTTCACTATAGAAACCCTACAGAGCACAAGGATACACACTGAGCTTCACTATAGAAACCCTACAGAGCACAAGGATACACACTGAGCTTCACTATAGAAACCCTACAGAGCACAAGGATACACACTGAACTTCACTATAGAAACCCTACAGAGCACAAGGATACACACTGAGCTTCACTATAGAAACCCTACAGAGCACAAGGATACACACTGAACTTCACTATAGAAACCCTACAGAGCACAAGGATACACACTGAGCTTCACTATAGAAACCCTACAGAGCACAAGGATACACACTGAGCTTCACTATAGAAACCCTACAGAGCACAAGGATACACACTGAGCTTCACTATAGAAACCCTACAGAGCACAAGGATACACACTGAGCTTCACTATAGAAACCCTACAGAGCACAAGGATACACACTGAACTTCACTATAGAAACCCTACAGAGCACAAGGACACACACACTCTCTTTCTCACCTGTACGATGGTATCCAGGTTCTGCCGGGACGTTGACACTGTGCTGGTGTTGGAGGCTGGGCTCATGGTAACCACAGTGACGTGATGCGGGTGGGGGGTTAGCGTGGGGGCGGGGACGATGACTGTGGGGTGGTGGGTGGGGGCTCGGGCAGGGGACCGCACCTAAATGAGGAGAAGAGAGATGGTGAGAATAAGAAAAGTTTGAGAACGGAGGAGAAAAGAGAGAGAAGGTGAAAAATGAGGAGAAAGAGAGAGAGTGTACAAAGAGAGGAAGGAAAATAAAATAGAAGATTCACTTTCCTTCCATTCAAAACCAGTTTGTGTGTTTCCCCATCTGTGGATTGTGTGTGTCTGTCTCTCGGTCTGTCTTCTTGAGTAGTTACAGACTGTGTAACCTGTGTGTCTCTGTACCTGTGGGCTGTGTGCTGTGTGTCTGTCCCTCTCTACGCTGGTCTCTGAGTGGAGCTGCTGTAGTCTCAGTAAGGTCTGGGTCTGGATGTGAGCCTGCTCCTCCTGGACCTGCTGGGTGATCACCTTCAGCCTCTCTGGGTGCAGCACCATGTCCAGAGAACGCACCTGGATGGACAAAGACACAGAGGAGAAGGGTGGTCAGTCTTTATCTCTATACTCCTCTTCACTCTTCCTTCCCTCTTTTCATTCTCTTTCTTCCCCCTCACTTGTTCATCCGCTCTCTCCACCACCTCTTAGTTCAACCTCCTCTCCATCCCTTCTTTTAACTGCCTTTCCCCACTCCTCTGTTCATCCCGCTGTCCCTAGCCAGTATCTCCCACATCTCCCCGCCCACCATCCTTCCCTCTCACCTGTTCCTCCAGTATCATCCTCGCCGAGCGCTCCTTGTCCAACTGTTGTCTGAGCTCCAACATCTCTCTCCTCAGCTCCTCGGCTTTCTCCTCCTCCAGAATGTCTGGGGAGCCGATCCCTTCATCCTTCTCCTCCCCCCCACGCCTCCTCTTTGGGGAGGAACCACTGAACTCCTGCAGGAGGAGAGGAGAAGGGGAGAGATGAGACAGGGTGAGAGGGAGCATTTCAACTAGTTATGGCCATGTCATGAACAGTAAATAGTTCACTAAGGTAATTGTTAGGGAGAAAGTATTTATGCTGTACTCCCAAATGAAATGGATCACTTTACACGTTCGTGTACTTTTATCTGGGTTCAATTATCAACTGTATACATTTCTGATATATATATTTTTTTTAAACACGCAAGTTACAATATTTTGATGAATTTCAGTGGCTATACTTGGCTATATGAAGGTAATACAAATGTATGAATGTCTACCTGTATGAAGCGCTTGAGCTGATTGTTCTGCTGCAGTAGCTGGGTCTTCTCCTGCTCCAGAGCAAAGATGTAGTCAGACGTCTGCTGTAGGATGGCAGCCTGAATAGGCACAGGACCAATATCACAAAGTTAGGTCAGAATCAATACTCTCAGAAACAGTTTCCTTGAATCCTCCATGAGTGGTATGGACACAAACATAGTTATGGTTATGGTCCCTCTCTCCTACCTTGCCGAGTTTCTCTCCGTCTGTGTGTGGCAGCAGTGTTTTCTGTATCTCTCTCTTGCTCACCTTGCTGAGTTTCTCTCCGTCTGTGTGTGGCAGGAGTGTTTTCAGCGACTGGAACCCTGCGTTGATACTCTGCATGCGGCGCCGTTCGTTACTATTGGCGATCTCCCGGCGGATACGCCTCTCCTGGTCCTGAGCAGTCTCTGGGCTGAGAGGGATGTTGGCCAGACTGGAGGGAGAGATGAAGGAGAGGAGGGCCAGAGGGAGGGAGGGAGGGAGTAAAGGACAGAGGGAGATAATGAGACAAAAGTTATATTTTATTCAGGTACATATTTTTATTTCCTTGAAAGGTAAAGAAGGATTGTTAATAACAATAATGTAACTCTGTGTTGTTGTTTTTAATCGCACTGCTTTGCTTTATCTTGGCCAGGTCGCAGTTGTAAATGAGAACTTGTTCTCAACTGGCTTACCTTGTTAAATAAAGGTGAAATAAATAAAATAAAATAAATAAACATAGCAAAATGAAAAGACAGCAAAGTCCTATTTTCACCATTCCTGCATTTCTAATAAAATATGGGCCTATATTGCAATTTAGTTTAAAGTCTGCTTTTCACCAGGTGTCTAATTAGAAATTACATGGTCATGAATAACTACCATGCCGATGTAGCTTGGGGGGGAAAACACTCCAGGCACGCAGGTAGTACGGCGCTATTCCTTCCCACTCCCCTGCAACCACACTCCCCACCTACATTTCACTAGGGTTAGTGACTAGGGCTATTATAAGGTCAGGTCCTGGAGTTTCCCTGAACTCACTGCCCTTCAGCCCATTTAATGGTTGCTAACCTACTCCTGTTCTGTTTCCTCAGCCAGAGTAATATGTAAACCATATAGCCTCCAGAGACTGAATGCTCTACAACAGGGTTTCCCTAACTCTGTCCTGGGGCCCCCCCTGTGTGCACATTTTGGTTTTTGCCCTAGCGCTACACAGCTGATTTAAATAATCAACTCATCAAGCTTTGATTATTTGAATCAGCTGTGTAGTGTTAGGGTAAAACCCCAAATGTGCACCCAGGTGGGGCCCCAGGACCGAGTTTGGGAAACCCTGCTCTAAAAGTTTGAAAAAGAAGTAGAATAACCAGATCTTGGAAAACTTGTCTGACAGCTAGGCTTAAATCATTCACAACGGGACAGACGGTTAACTGTCGCACAACAGACTCAGACAACATCTTAAGAGGAGAAAATATAGGACTATTAGCAGACCTATTATCTATGCCTACATTAATGCGTAGACTCACAATAGCTATTTGCTTAGTCAACTGAATGGAGTGCAGTAAGCAAAACAAAATATAGACCGAAATCAATGCTAATAAAAAGTAAAAAGGACAACCAAAATCACACTAAAATACTTTTGAGATAGAATGCACCAAAGCCATTGACGATGTGGGCCTAGAGCGACTAGTACAGAGTAGCCTACAGCAATCTAGAATTAGAAGGCTTGCCTTCATTCATAAATTCTGTCTCTGCTCCAAAAAAGATTCAAGAAGCGTGTTTAGCTACAACCTCTGGCTTCACTAGCTTGATCGAGCGCTTCTCACATGCATTGATTGAGAGCGCAGACTCAATACAACGAAACATTGCAGCTAGCACTGGTATATATGGTTGGTAGCTAGCAAGCTTGTTGTCGGCCCACCAATTAAACAGAATATATACACTTTGTATCTAACGAACTAGTAATGTCTGTAAATCCCTCGCCCAAATAAGTACCTAGCCTAGTAGCTTGTTAGCCTGGTGAAATTTGACACCAAGACCACCCCCTTTCACATGGAGAACAATACTTTCGCCTACATATTTGAAACAATATTACACCGTCGACTTGACAAAAACGGGGGCTTTCTACAAAATATGAATACATAATATAAAAGTTGTTAAATACAACTTAGTATGGACAACATTGTATGATGTTTATTATTAGTTAAATGTTGTTGCGGATGTTGGATACACCGCCATGCTACTAAACTCGAGAGCTTGGCCAATTTCAGCACACGACACATAAGCATGGCCGCACTACCCACGAGCTAGCTGGCTAGCTACAGCAGAAATATTCGCTCGCTACACCTCGTAGGTTCCCTACATGTGAGAACCAAAGCCCGTAAACATACACATCTTATTAGTTTGTGTCACAAATGTATAACTGCATTATTTTAGTCGACGTGTTGGGGAGGGAACACCGTAGACAACATCTGGAATGCTAGCTAGCGCGTGCTAGCTACACAGCAGCGAAGCGGCGGGCAGTGTGATTAGTAACCACGTGGTTCGTGTTAGCTGGATACAAAATGTATCGATTTCAAGTATTTATTTACATTTTTCCACTACAACTGTAACCACCAACGGTAGTTATTAATACCTCTAGCCGTTACAATGTTTCGGGGCAAATATTAAATGATTGCTTTCGTCCCGCCCTCGGGGTATGCGTTCATATGCGCATTGCTAACATTAAATCATAGCTTCCTTCCACCCATGTTGTGCCAATATTGTTGTAGCTAGATAGCTAGCTACATTCAGGTCACCATCTAGTTAGTAAGCAGATAACTCACAGTTGCAATCAAAACACACAATACACATCTAATCGAAAGCGTGATTATGCAATACACACCTACAAAGCCCTCCAATAACATCCTTCTCCGATTTCTTGAATTGTTGTAAAGCCTTCTCCGTAGGCATCATGAAGTATTCCATGCTTTAGCTACCTAGATAGTTAACGTTAGATATCTTCAGCTGTAACCCCTTGAGTCTGTTCTGTGTTTTGAGGCTATTTTCCAATTTCCTTGCCGTAAAAAAAATACACTCCAGTACTATGTTCGATTGCACATAGCTAAGTATTATTGATCGTTCGGGGTTGTAGCTAAAAGGCTAGCTAAGCTAACTGTGTGTGGCTCCAGCTGATGCGGATTTCCCTGCGTGCGTGTGGCGCCTCCGCCTACTACTACGTGTGTGTTTGCAGCTGATCTCTGTGTCTCGAGGCGGGAAACAGCTGGTCGGAATCAAGGAGCGCTCAAGAGCTTTTTCTCTCTCTCTGCATAGCAGACCAGACTACGCACGAACAAAGAGCTACTTTGAGAGAGAAGCATTACGGCCTATTGAAGAAGGAACGGCCAACTGGTGCTTATGAAGACACTCAAAATACGCTAAAGGGAAAATTTAAATAAGACACACGGCCAAGGCAACAAACCAAAGTCAAGTACAATAACAACAAATAATGCATTTGCCTATATTCTATAAAACAACAATCTATTCTATTCTAATGTATTCTATTCTTTAAAAACAAAAATAGATTATATTATTGTTATGCCAGTGCCTATCAGGCCAAATACATTTGAAAGTACTGCAAATAATGTATTATGCCTAAACTGTTATAATAGTCCTATTACCAAGTAGCATTATGATAGCCAAGGTAAATTAACTAAATGGTTTGTAGCCTATGTAACAACCCCCCTTTTCTTATTCAGGTTAAAGCCATATAGCCAGTTTAGCCCAATAGTTTATAGTAAGAAGGCAATTGGGCTTGTATGCCATAAGACTAGGGGCATAACACCTTGTGTGATAGCCTATCTGGGAATGTGGCAATAGTCTATGCCTACATGTAGGCAGACTATCCATCATTTATTAAAACAAATTAGTATAGGCGCATAGACTATAATTATGCGATATAGGCCAATGGAATATGCTCCAAAATCTTTTCACATTTCTATCTTTGTTTAGATGTTTAATTTTTTATAAGCAAAAATTGATAGCGCTTCAATGCACCCTTTGACCAGCAGATGGTAGACTAAACCTTCCCACACAGTTACGGTCATCAAACCCAAGGTGTGGATTGTCACGATGACTGCATCATAAAAATTCATGAAAACAAATTTTGTATTTTTGGTCTTAATTTAAGGTTAGGGTTAGGCATAAGGTTAGCAGTATGGTTAAAGTTAGGGTTAGGTTTAAAATCTGATTTTAAGAAGATAAAGTTTACAAATAGGCAGGGTTTAGCCATAATTATGACTTTGTGGCTGTGGTAACTAGGAACGACCCAACATGTGCACCCCGATAAAAAAACAACAACGTTATAAGTATCTAGGTATTTCAATAGCATATTATGTAACACAATCTTAAAGAGAGGAAAATGAATAATTTAGCCAATCAGTTGTGCTATAGTCTACACAAGTTCTAAACAACTGTAGCTGTAATGGGCCTTGAGAGAAGGAGGCTAGGCGTGTGAAGTGTGTGTGTGTGTGAGAGAGAGATGAAGAATGAGTGACTGTGCAGGGAGGATAGAGTAAAGAGGAAGACAGAAATAGACGGGAGGGAGAAAGCGGGAAGACAGCTGTGAAACGGAGAAATAGAGTATATCTGTGAGAGAGATCCGTGCATGTGTACTACTGCTATGTTTTCTGTTCACACATTCGACTTGTAGGCTCTCGTGTTGTTTTCTTTCTTCAGATTGAGATACTTTTGTGAGTGTAATGTTTACTGTTAATTTCTGATAGTTTATTTCACTTTTGTTTATGATCTATTCCACTTGCATTGGCAATGTAAACATATGGTTCCCATGCCAATAAAGCGCTTTGAGAGAGAGAGACTTGAAGGAAAGGTTGGAAATGTGCCGAGGACAACCTTCGAGTTCGGGAGTGATAGGCGGGACCGAGAAGGCAAGGGAGGCATGCACTGAGCTGGAAGGGGTAGGCTGCTAGGGTCTGTTACCGAGCAGAGGAGTGGTGGCGGCTGCGTGGGGGGAATGGGGGCTGGACTGGGTCTGGGTCTGTCTACGTACACAGAAGACGGTCACGGGGAGGCTGGAACCACACAGTCACGTCTCCAGCTGTGGGGTGTAGCCGGAGAAAAGAGAGAGAGAGAGAGGGGGAAAGAGAGAGAGCAAAGAAAGAGAGAGAGCCAAGCACGGCTCAGCTGAGGCAAGCAGACGATTGGAGTAGAAGTCGTGAGAGACAACCGCTGGAAGCGAACAGTGGAAGGAAATAGAAAACAGAGAGGACCCAAATCTGCCACCGACCAACACCAGCACCTCCTCTCCCTCTCTCCATCTCGCTGGTTAGCTGCTCAACCACATAGACGGATGACACCCCCCCTCTTCTAAAAAGACAACTAGGGGGGATGACCGCCTACGGAGAAGACAGTTGACTAGCGTCGTAACTAAGCGATGCACCTTCTATCCAAGAGCGCAAGCTTGAAGCTATCTTTTATCCTAACATAGGCTATTATTTTTGACGAATGTCACTGTTGACAATATTTCCTAACACAGTTTTGTGGTTATTGACACGAGACTTGGTTTATTTTCGAGACTCTAAAGCAAAGTTGTTTTTCAGTGCGGCCTTGGATATCCATACTCGCTGAAAAACAGATTTTAATTTTTTCAACAAGCTAGGCCTATTTGTAAAGAAATATAGCAGTAGAACGAACGGACTCCTTTGGGGTGGGTTTTTATGTCTTTATTTTCCGTACAGTCTGTTATAGATACATTATATTCTATCGACAATGGTTCGACAAGCGCCTACTAAACTTGTAACTTGAATAGACACTCTTCTGTAGCCTATCTACCGTTTGAAACGGTTGTGGGCACATCGAGACGATACTGAGAAGCGACAGTAGAGGAGACATCCAACGAGGAGAGCGGACAAGGATACTATACGTTCGCGTCCAGTGAAGACAAGGCTTTTATAAAAGGTAAACACACACAGACACTCAGACATCCATGTTCTCCCATATGTGCCCTTTATTCCCCTATAGCCTCCTAGGCTACTGTGTAATTTCGTTGTGGTTATGTATGTAGACTACTATATTTATAGACTACGTTGATTTGATAAATTCGGCACCTGTGGGAAATTCGGTTGAAATTGTCCCTGAGAAAGGGCACGGATATAAGATGCTCGGTGGCCGGTTATCGGTCTAGACTGGATGTCACGGTCCGTTATGTTGTCCGTCTGACATGTCTGGTCATCATATTATCTTGCATGTGTAGCCTAAATGCCACATTTTCCATTGTATCCAACATCCCATATTCGTTCCATAAAAATCTCATCACAGGCTGCCTTATCGAGAAAAATGACATGTAGGCTACATATGTGTGACAAGATTGAACGGCCTGTCACACATTGTAGACAGACAGGATCATATCCAGCCAACCGAAATAGTGCGCAATAGTGTTCTGTTAAAGGTGATAGACCGTTCACGACCTAACCTGCCCTGACTGTTGGTTAAGGGCTGTAAGTAAGCATTTCACTGTAATGTCTGCACCAGTTGTATTCGGCGCATGTGACCAATAAAATTTGATTTGATTTGATTTGATTTGAAAATGAGATTAGCCCTAAAGGTCACAGTGAAACACTGGTAAAGTGTTTGGTTGGAAAACTACTTGAATCAACGTTGTTTCCATGTCATTTCAATGAAATTACGTTGAACCAATGTGGAATAGACGTTGAATTGACGTCTGTGCCCAGTGGGAGGCCTTGTCAACGCACTGATAAGTGTGTGTGTGTGTGTGTTATGCCCACACAGAGGTTTCAGCAATCTTACAACATCCTTTCCATTGTGGGCCAATAATAAAGATGACTGGCCCTTAGTTTGACCACACACACACACACACACACACACACACACTGCAAAAGGAGTCTGAGGGGAGCTAGATACAGTACGCAGATACACCCACCATCCCCACAGCAGGAAAAGACAGGGCATAGTTCCAGGCCTCTCTGAGACAAAGCGGCCCTTAAGAAGCTATGATGCAACGGGACTGTAACAGACCTCATAATATAATCCAGCAGTGATCACAGAAAGGAGAAAGCTCTCTGGACTGGACCTCACCAGACTGACTAACTGGACCTCACCAGACTGACTAATTGGACCTCACCAGACTGACTAACTGGACCTCACCAGACTGACTAACTGGACCTCACCAGACTGACTAACTGGACCTCACCAGACTGACTAACTGGACCTCACCAGACTGACTAATTGGACCTCACCAGACTGACTAACTGGACCTCACCAGACTGACTAACTGGACCTCACCAGACTGACTAACTGGACCTCACCAGACTGACTAACTGGACCTCACCAGACTGACTAACTGGGACCTCACCAGACTGACTAACTGGACCTCACCAGACTGACTAACTGGACCTCACCAGACTGACTAACTGGACCTCACCAGACTGACTAACTGGGACCTCACCAGACTGACTAACTGGACCTCACCAGACTGACTAACTGGACCTCACCAGACTGACTAACTGGACCTCACCAGACTGACTAACTGGACCTCACCAGACTGACTAACTGGACTTCACCAGACTGACTAACTGGACTTCACCAGACTGACTAACTGGACTTCACCAGACTGACTAACTGGACTTCACCAGACTGACTAACTGGACTTCACCAGACTGACTAACTGGACTTCACCAGACTGACTAACTGGACCTCACCAGACTGACTAACTGGACCTCACCAGACTGACTAACTGGACCTCACCAGACTGACTAACTCGGCTATGAGAGGAGAGGACAGCCATGATGAGAAATAGGAGGAAGGCTCAGTGTGTGTGTGTGTGTGTGTGTGTGTGTGTGTGTGTGTGTGTGTGTGTGTAACACGTGTGTGGAGTGTGAAAGGCCCATGAGTACAATCATGAATGTGCTTAGTAGGGTTGGGCAGTATCCATATTTTCATACTGTTCCTGTACCATACCGGGGCATAAGGTATTACCGGCAGTGCACACAAAGGGCGCTATTTCTTTCCAAACGTAAACGAATACAAATAATATTGATCCAGGAGGGGATTAATTGTCTTTGCTGTAACCAAGAAGCTTGGTCTTGCAAGCTAGACATTTAGCTAGCAAGTTAGCAAACCAAATGCATAGCTGGAGCCCTGAGCTGGATATCATTTATTTGGCACATCTTAGATAGTTAACTTATATTTAT